CTTCCACCAGTCATCCGATTTTTTTTTTTTTTTTTTTTTTTTTTTTTTTTTTTTTTTTTTTTTTTTTGTTTGATTTTTCACCTGTCTCTTTGTCATTGGCTTGTAATGTGCAAACGACATCTCTATCTCCTTGACAAGCATATCCTCTTGCTCCGCCTCCAATAGTCGCTTGGTAGATGGGATGCCATTGTTGGCCAATGCCTTGGATATATCGCTTGGCCTGACATCATACTTTAGTGCCAACTGTTTATGTTGTATTGTATTATCCTCGTGCAATTCCTTAAAGACTTCCTCCATTCTCTCTTTATAGTCCTTTTTCTGTATCCTGGTTGGAGTATTTCTAAGAGGTACGCCTGACATGTCTTAAAAATGCTCGTAATAATAGTACATGTAGATGATATCAAAATGATCGTATAATTATATTTGTATAAGATATATTATATATGATTAGATAGTATATGATCTATAGAACAACAATATTATCTGTTTGTTTAATAATTTGGGAAATTAATTAAATGAATCACGTCTACAACTATCTCAGACCTGTAACCTTCATCATTCACGCACAAATATCCCCACAGAGAAATTACCCCCTGAAATTCCGAATACCTCAGGTGGGTGTCAGTTCAATGAATCGAAGAAGAATTGTTTGACACTCACACAGATAAATAATGACTCACACAGACAAGTCTGAATGAAGTAAATCCCTAAACGAATGACCACCATACCCTCTGAATTTAATCGATTGATATGTCTTTCTGCTGATTACGTCAAACAAATTCATCAGTAGTTAAAGGGAAGCAACATAGTTACTCTGTTCATCAATCAATGGTGTAAGGGTGATGAGTGATCCCTCATTATTGGATGTATTCCAATAAGATTGTTATGACACTTACTTGAAAATATCATATTGCCAACTTGACTTGAACTGTTCAGTTCGCAACTAGTTGTTCAGAGAGATAGAGATAGAGAGAGAGGTAGAGAATGAAGTTCTATCTAACTGGCTTTGGCAAGTTCAATGGCGTAGAGGATAATCCAACTACACATTTAATGAACAATATCGTTCAACATTATAAACAAACAACAACAACAACATCATCATCATCATTGCCAATTACAATCGATGTTGATACTGTTAGGTCTGCCCAACAACAACAACAACAACAACAACAGTGCAGCGTAGTAGTTGATATAGTTGGAGTCGACATACTTGAAGTGTCTGCTGTGTCTGCAAAGCAGAAGATCGATCAACTGGCACAGCAGTACCCAAACGACCACATCACTTTGGTATGTGTCATAATGATCTTTATAATATGATCAAGCTTTGTAACTGTTGTGTTGTTGCTGACCTCCATGATACGATGGTTATATATACCTTCCCCCCGAACAATCAATGATAGATACACTTTGGCGTAGACAGCAATGCTCAAGCATTCCGTCTTGAACGTTGTGGATGGAATGGTAAGTCTCACTCACTCAATCACTCATTCAATCATTCAATCACTCATTTATTCATTCATTCAATCATTCGTAGAGGCCAACTTTAGAGTTCCTGATGAACGTGGATGGCAACCAGCCAATGAATCAATCGATGCCAATGATACAAACAGTCATAATGTAACATCGATACCCATAACCAATGTTGTCAGCAACTTGTCACCAAAGCATTTGGTACAGCCATCAGACGATCCAGGTAGATTCATCTGTAATTATATCTAGTATGTATATATTCTGTTCATAATGTTGACCCAATCATCTCTAACAGTATTCAATCAATCAATCAATCAATCAATCAATCAATCAATCAATCAATCATTCATCACACTAGCTACCATTCACTGACACTATCGAAACAGAGTCAAGGTCGTGTTCACTCATTGTTTGTCCACGTTCCACCATTCCATGTCATATCAATGGACAAGCAGTTGGAGTTTGTCGTTGACCTCCTTCAGAACTTATCCACAACCTTGTGTAAATCAATCAATCAATAATTAACAATTGTAAATTACAGTTTGATTGATTCTTATGTCTTGCATTTGAGGTTGGACTTGTCATTCGAATGTTGTCAAGGTAATCCTTTGCTGTTACCAACATTCCATGGACTACGTTGGTACAGCCACGCCAATCTCCAATCTATCTCAAGTCAATGACATTGTGATGAAAATTGGAAGAAAGCTGTAACTTCCAAACAAAACTTTGAACACAAAAGGACAAAGGTGACCCATCACCAATCAAATTAATTAATAATCATAGTTATAACTAAACAATATAAATAAGATATGTCAACAACAGACTCAACAACAACAACAACAACAACAACAACACAGATAATTGCAGAACTGATGCATACAGTTCAGTTTGCAGCAATCAAACATAGAGATCAGAGAAGAAAGGACCAATATAACTCACCTTATATCAATCATCCAATTGGTGTAGCATGCAACGTGATCAACATTGGAAAGGTCTATGATCACGCCACTATTCAAGCCGCTTTGCTGCATGACACTGTGGAGGACACTGCCACCACTGAGCAGGAGCTCATCGATACATTTGGAGCACATGTAGCCCAGCTGGTAATGGACGTCACCGATGACAAGAAGCTCTCAAAGGTCGATCGCAAGAGGCATCAGATCGAGCACGCCCCACACATCCACCAGCAGGCCAAGATCGTCAAGATGGCCGACAAGCTCTACAATCTCAGCGACATTATAAACAACGCTCCAGCAGCCTGGTCTCTGGAGATCATCCAGGGCTACTTTGTCTGGGGCAAGGCTGTCTGCCAAGGTTTGCGTGGTGTCAACAAGGGATTGGAGGAAGCACTCGACAAGCTATTCGTATCCAACATCATCTACAAAGGACAATCCTACCCTGTCATCCCTTGCAAGCCAGAGGAGGAGACTGCATTCCTCGAGGGATACTACAAGTTGTTGAAGTAATCATGATCAATCGAACCTCGATCAATCAATCAACTAATCAATGAATCACTTCAATAAACATTATAATCCATCCATTGGACTGTATTTATTACAATCTCTTTAGGACGATCCAAGTCCAATTGACTTTAAGAATGGCTTCTCATCTGGTGTGCGACCAAGGAAGTTCTTGAGTGTGACATTGCTGTCCTGTGATCCACCGACAGCCAACACTTGATCTCTGAGTTTCTTGCCCAGCTCCTTGTTCATGACACCCTGCTCCTCGAACTTGGAGAAGATATCAAACGAGAACACCTCGCTCCACATGTACGAGTAGTAGGCTGCATCGTATCCAAACAAATGACCAAAGGTAGCACTTGGATTGGTGCCAGGTTGGTTCTGGATCATAGCAATATCCCTTGCCATCTCTGCCCATATGGCCTCTGTCTTTTCAAAGCTATCAACATCATTGGAGTGAATCTGAGAGTTGATGGATAGATGGATGTTAGTGTCGTGATCAATCAATCAATCTGACAAATCAACCGAACTTACTCTCTGATCGAAACTACTGAAGAGCAACTGACGGAGGTAGAAGAGTGAGATGTTCAGGTTCTTGGAATCCAGCATCTTCTTGATGAGGTCGGCTGGCAACTTCTTGGAGTGATCCTTGTAGTGGCCAGACAGTCTGTCGAGGACGGCAGCATCCCAACACCAGTTCTCAAAGAGTTGCGAGGGACACTCGACAAAGTCGCGCTCCACGCTTGTACCCGAGAAGTTGGAGTACTTGACGGTCGTGTTGATGTTGTGCATCACGTGTCCAAACTCGTGGAAGAAGGTGACGACCTCGTCGTGCGTCAGCAACGAGGGCGCTGTCTCGGTGGACTTTGTGAAGTTGCACACCATGATGGGCACGGGTAGCTGACGTGCACCGGGACGGTTGAAGCCGGGCTGCGAGGGCCAGACGGCAAAGTGAGTATACTTTCCATCGCGTGGATAGAGGTCCAGGAAGAAGTAGCCCATGAGCTCTCCGTTGGCAGTGCTGTCGGTAACTGAGTAGAGTTTGACCTCTGGATGCCACAACTCGAATGGTGCCGCTACCTCCTGGAACTTGACGCCAAGCAGGTCTTGATAGACATCAAAGATTCCCTGACACACCAACTCGAATGGGAAGTAAGCCTTGACGAGATTGTTGTCCACACTGTAATCCTTGACCAACATCATATTGTTGTAATATCCATACTCGTACGACTTGATCTCTGGCTCGGGCAATGGCAAGCCTCTCTCCTTATAATCCTGTGCCTTCAGTTGACTGAGTGATCAGGGAGTGATTGGTGAGTGATTGGATTGGCGTACAACTAATCCAGAAATGTACATACCTCAACTTCTCCAACTCAATGATGGCGTATGGCTTGAGGAGCTCGATCATTCTCTTTTGGAATGCACGGACGTTGGCTGGAGACTTGGCCATGTTGTATTGGGTGACGACGGCGCTCCACTCCTCCTTGCCTTGGAGTGCGGCTGCCTCCCTGCGCAGCTTGAGTGTCTTGCTCAAGATGTCCACGTTGGTGTCGAGACATCTGCTGCCATAGGTATACTCGATCTTCTTACGAGTCTCAGTCACCTCGCAGTACTTCATCGCGGGCATGTACTCTGGCGCCTTGCAAGTGACAATGAACTTGCCGTCGGTAGTGCGCTCCAGTGAGTCGATGATGTCGTCGGGGATGCCCTTGAGCTGCTCCCTGGTGAACTCATTTCTGGACTTGTCCTCGGCAACGTTCTTGCCAAACGCAATGGACAGGTCACTGATGGCGGACTTGATCTCCTTTAGCTTCTCTCTCTTCTCGGCTGGCAATTGCAGACCATTCTTCTCAAAGGCCTCCAATGTCTTGGTGACCAGACGCTGCTGTTCGGCGTCAAGCGCGTCCTTGTAGTTGGGGTTGGCCTCGACAAAGTCGGCAAAGGCGCGGTAGAGGTCGACACGCGAGAACGTGTTGATCTGGTACTTTGACAGCGTGGATTGTGCATCGTTGGATGCGTCACGCAGCTCCTTGGACACGGCGACGTTGGCAGGGAATGTCAAAGAGTGCTCCTCTAGTGTGAAAATGTTATCGATGCGATCCAACTCGACGTAGGTGTTCTCAAAGGTCTTCTTGTCGACTGGAATATCGATGATTGCCTTTAGAGCTTCGTCGTGTGACTTGATCAAAGCATTGACACGTGGTTCAATCTCCTCTGGTTTTGAGGCCAATCTAAACTTTATCGCTTGTATTATCTGTTCAGACATCTTATTATTATTATTCTTGTTATTATTTGTTGTTGTTGATGTTGTTGTTGATGTAGAGTATTGATGTCTTTGTTTTGATAATGATATTAATGTTGTTGGTACTGATGTTGATTTGTAATATGATGATTGATAGTTTATATGTATGTTGTTGTTGTTGTTGATGTTTACAAGTAAGTGGTTGTTATAATTGAATGTACTTCTTCTTTGAGGGCTCAGTGAGAATGAAGTTGATGTGGTTAAAGGTGATGACTGCGCAATAGTACTACTTCGAAGATTAATGGTGTGTGAGAAGAACTTATTGATTGATTTGGTGATGTTCAACATGTTTGTGTTCGAATCGCCTGTTTTGTTATTGGGACACAAGTATTATTATCTACCCCAACTATAATATTTGTTTGAATAAATGAATGATTGATTGATTGATTGAATGATCAAATTGTACTATAACTTGGTTGTTTGATGTATATATATATATATATTTATACATATATTTATCACTAATGGTTGTGCTAACTAAATTCAAAAGGGAGAGAGGGTCTCTTCGTCGGCTTCGTCTTCTTTGAGGTGTGGTGAAGTCCAACTTTGGATGTATGAATGAATCTTGTGATGACGGCTTTCATTGATTGATTACACATACACATACACATATATCTTTATTATTACTTATAATATATATATACACATATATCAATCATGTCTGAGGAGAAACTGATGGAGATAGAGGCACTTGGTGCCATCTATATGGATAGCTTTCAAGGTAGGTTGAGCTTAATATCAATTTATCTAAGACTCATAATGAATGCTTCTCTTATCACTTACTCACTCGCTCTCTCACAGTGATCAACGATGATAATATACAGATAACTCTACTGCCAAACCCAAGTGGAGAAGACAACCATGGTATGATAATCATTGTTGCTGTTATTGTCATCAACGCGTTGATGAATGCGCATACAGATTCACTAACATATGACACAACTAATGATGATGATGATGATGATGATGATGATTATACAGTTGGTGTGATACTAGACATTAAATATACAGCAGACTATCCCAACTCAGTACCAATTATCGAGTTGATACCAACTGAGAAGTTGACAAAGGATAGAATAGAAGGACTCATTTCAGATGTAAACAATCAAGCCACAGAGAACATAGGTACATCAATGATATTTATATTGGTATGCATCATCGAGTCGAATCAAGTTGACAATGAACATGGCCTCAAACATACTCACTTACACTCAATCATCATTTAAGGCTGGAACAATCAAAGAATGGTTGGACAACAATAATACTGATTTGGTAGAACAGGAGGATGATGAGGCAGAGGAGTCATCATCAGAGGAAGAGGAATACGTATTTGAAGGTACACCAGTGACAATTGACACGTTTAAGGAGTGGAGAAAGCGATTCCTGGCAGAGATGCAGCCAATGAAGAAGGAGGTCGCCGCAAGCAAGTTGAACAAACTGACGGGTCGTCAGCTGTTTGAGATCGACTCGACGCTGATCCTGTCCGACTCCAAGTTCATGGAGGAGGGCGAGGAGACATCAAACATCTCTGCCTCGACCGTCAAGCCCAAGCTCGAAGATGTTGCAGCACAAGTCGACTGGAGTCTATTTGGAAACGATGACCTGCCCGAAGACCTTGATGATATTGAAGAGGATAATTGATCGATCGAATAGAGTTGTGTCATGGTCATGGTCTTGGTCATGGTCATGTGTTGTTGGCTAAAGTTGGCAACGTGGCGAGCGAACGAATCTAGATTCGCTGATCAAAGTAACAATCAAACACCATTGACATGCTTACATCCTTATATCCACATTAAAGCTACGACAATAGTTGGTTGGTTGGTTGGCCAATGGATTGTCACTCGTCAAGCCCATGCTACCAATAATCAATCACATCAATAATGGACATGCACTGAGTTGTGGTGAGAAGGTCACATGTTCATTCACAAGACAATCGATCATTTACTTTGGTGTGATTGAAGGTTGTAGTTATCATTAAGTCAAACATTCAATATAGTCGATGGTTGGTAACCGAAGTTGACCATCACAGAGGTCTATGTGAGTCCTCTCCTAGCGTTACCAGACCTTTTCGTTTGCCCTCCATTCACTTATGACGTGAATGGTTATGTCATCATGCTTGGATATGGTGCCGAACTCTACTATGAGAGAGTTGACTTGGAGACTTTGGAATCGTTCAATACGACACTTCCGCTCCGTCTGGGCAATGACAACATCGCCTTTGTTGCCTCCCACTAACTACTCATTTTTGCATACATCATCATCCCTGAGATATTTGATCAGAGTTGAAGTAAATGAGGGAACTCAAGTAGGTAAATCAAATATTAACCAGCCTGTTCCTCTCACCTCGTCCATGGGTATTAAATCAACAGTGAACTACAGTGTCAATAATAGAACAAACAGAACCTAACATAATATATATGCGATTGTAGAGTGATTTATTGATTGGATGACCAACTGACGAGATGGATAAACGACCTCGGTTGTGGAAGACCCTGTTAGATGGTGGATGATGAACAAACTAGACTCCTTGGTCATCTTGTGTACACAAGAAGTTGACCAGTTCCAGCTGGTTTGCAATTGATTGATTGATTGGAATGTCCATGGATGTTAACAATCAATCAATGCAGTGCACATCCGGATGTGCCAATCATGGTCACAATGTGTCCATCTCTGTTTGAGTATGGTCCACCTGATGATGCTGAGCGTAGCTTCAATCACTTGGATGGTGTGATGTTGGTTGACTACGCAGCATTCATGCAATGCGATGCCTTTGGCTGACAGAGGGGGTTCTTTAGATACCCATCTCATTCACATCGGGATTGTTGTTGTCTGTCTTGCTGAACTTGAGTGCGCCACCCTCTGCAACACTAATGGATATTCCAAGTGAGTCCAGCTCCTCAGTGTTTGCAATTCCTTGCATCCTAAGGTTCTCAATCACTGCCTGGTTCTCTGGATTCTCATCACAGAGGTTCCTGATTGCAAATACTGACCATTCCTTGATGTCTATACATGAGGGTGAGAGTGCCTTGTTAGTTTGATCAAGTAAGATAGAATTGGAAGACCCTTACATCGATTGTTTGGATCAATCTTGCAATGATTGAGGATTAGATGTATGCCTCCAAGCTCCCTGATCTCATCTTGATTGCCCTTGTTCTTGTAGGCCAGGTTGCCAAGTATTCTGATGATCTCCTTCTTGAAGTCCTTGTCCTGGGCATTCTCATCCGCCTCCTTCACTTGCTCGCGGAGCGATGATGAGGGCTCAGGATTGCTGTGGAGTGTACCAATGCACACAGCGACCAGGCCATTCTTTCTCAACACAGTGTTGAGATCATCTCTCTGATCGCCGAGTGATTGAACGACACTCAACATCTCATCACTGTAGCATGAGACATTGGCCAATATCTTGAAGATGAAGTAGATGGCACTGAAATCATGCTCATTCAAACGTGTAACGGTCTTGACATTGCTGGCGGCACCGCTGCGCTTAAAGTCCATGTTGTAGAGTATGGTCAACTCCTTCAAAAGGAAGACACAACACTCAAGATTGATGATGGCATCGCTCTCTACAAAGTCCATGACATGCTTCTCCTTGTTCACCATGGCATCCAACAAGTTCAGCAATAGTACCTGGTATTTGTTTGTTCTTCCAGCCATGTGATCATCGTCCTCCTCCACCACCTCTTCATGGTCGTCCACCTGTGGCTGCTGTGCATTGACACCATCCTCACCAAACACACCCTGGAAGATAGGATGTTGTTTGATGTCCTTGAGCTGTGGCTGTGTCTTTGCAAAGTTGTCATCGCCAAACTGAGTGTAGAGCTCAATAAAGTGTTGTCCAGCTTGGAACAATGATTTGAAGATGAGATGACTCCAATGGAATAGTTGATGATGATCATCAGTGTCCTGATTGAATCGTTCAATCGAGTTGGCAATCTCTGGCAACAGACTGAAACCACCATTCACCAGATCCCTGCGTCTCTGATCACTGTTGCACACAAGATTGTACAACAACATCAATACACTTGATAGTCTGACAGCGTCCTCCTTCACTCCATTCAATATCGCCCTGTAATGGTAATGGATGGTCAGTCACCATATGTTCACAACAACAACATCAAACAAACTTACTCGAGCTTGGAGGGGAAGATTAGTGACCAGAGATGTGATTGAGTGTCATTGTTGGAGACGATTGAGTTGATCAATAGTTGAATGGTGGCAGTGTATTGATTGGAGTTGGTAGTGTTGACCAATTGATTGATTGACCATGTGATCAGTGCATCAGCAGTGCTACCAGATAGTATGATCCTCCTCTGATTGTCAGCATTCTGAGCACATAGATTACGTAATAATCTTGTACCCAATAACATAACCTTTGTATGATCCAATGATACTGTGTTGAGCGCATCCTGTTGTTGTGCCACCAAGTATGCCGAGAGTTGGTTGATCACATCTGTCTCTGAACCAATGTAATCCCTTACATCTGACTCTTTGGTCAATGTCAGAAGGTCTGTCAAGCTAGATACAGCCAGAGAGGTTTCGGTCTCTGGCTGCTGCTGCTGCTTGAGAGCATTGATCAATGAATGTGCCGATTGGTTGGCCGAGAATGACATTGTATATGTATGTGTATGTATGTATATTCAAGTAAGTGTACAAGTTGGAATGAATGAATGAATGAGTGAGTGACTTTGAGAAACATGAACGAAAGTTGAAGTTAGTTTCAAATTTGAGAAGTGGCCCATTTCTTATCAATCATTTCATTCATTCATTCATTTGGCATTCAACCAAACAGATATATTTTAATAACAATGAGTGATACAAGTAATGCAGCAAAGAAGGAGTTACCATTCTTCTTTGGTGACTCTAATGATAATGATGATAAAAGATTGAATGATAGTGGCGATGAAAAGTTCAGTGCGGATGAGGCTGACGATGATGCTGGTAGCGATCTAGAAGACTTCATCCCTCCACCTTCAGACACAATGGTAAGTGAGTTGGTCACGCTCATCATTAATGGTACTCCCTAACACTAACATACATCATACTTAGGATGCTATGCCACAACAGATAATGAATAGGGCGGGACGTGGAGGAGGAAATACAGGTGTAAAGGGTGTGTTGGCAGACTATGCTGAGCATCAGGAGAAGAAGAGACAGGAGTTTGTAATGGATAAGGAGTTGAGGAAACAGATGGTACAAAAGATGGCGGTCACTGTGAAGGATAACCCTGCGAATCAACAACAGCAGCAGCAACAAGAGGAGGAGGATGAGGAGGATGAAGATCTCAAACGACTAAAGGAGCAGCGTCTGGCACAGTTCAGAAAGCAGCAACAGCAACACCAACACCCTGCCATGCCCAAGAACAAGACATTCGGATTCCTCAAGCAGATCAACAAGAAGGAGTACGTCGAAGAGATTGACAACGAGCCTCCCCATGTATTTGTAATTGTACATCTTTATCAGAATGTATGTGTGGACGTCTATCAATCAATCAATCTATAACTGGATGGAACTATCCCTCTCAATACTAATCCACATACATGCATGTACAACAGTACATCCCAGAGTGCATTGCGTTGAACCAACACTTGTCACAACTGGCTATTAAGTATCGACATATTAAGTTCCTCAAGATTCTATCGACTGAGGCAAAGGCTGATTATCACGATGAGGCACTGCCCTCGCTGTTGGTATACATTGGAGGCAATCTATTGGTGTCATTCATACCGATCACCGAAGACTTGGAGCGCAACTTTGTCAAGGAGGATCTGGAGCTATTGTTGGCGAGCTACGACATCATCCCCCAGCCCAAGGCAGAGCGTTGGGAGACATCACTGTCACAGAACCGTGGCGGCAACAACAACATCAGCGGAACCTATATCAATACAGCATCAGGGCGTGGTGGAGATCATGGTAGTGATGACTCTGACCGCGATGACTCTGACTAACCTATGATCAATCCCCTGAACACAATCATGGATGGATGGATGGATTTCCTCGTCCAAAGGTGGATACTATTATTATTATTATTATTATTAATACTACACAGCTCCCTACCAAACCTTCTTGTAGGGGATGGGATGTGCTTCGGTGTTGAATACATATTCGCTCAATGGTACTACACTAGAGTCTGCAAACAGCAAGTAGAAGTACTGGATGTGATGAGATAGTAGTTTGTTAGTAAGCTGATCGATCAATCAATCCCAATCCAATCAAATAAGGGAACATACCTTCATAGTCTCTGCTAAGAAGAATGATTGTTGGATATCATCCTTGTTGGCTGGATTGTTAACATCCTTGAGACCAACGTATCCATTGGGTGTCTTGCAGTGTTCCTCCAGTGATTGGAATATAGTCCATCCCCAGTCTTGATACTTGGGGTTGCCAGTGATACGCCATAGGTAGAACAGAGACTCGACGGTCTCTGGACGCAAGATGTACTTGGCCTCGCCCAGATGGCCGTAGATCTGATGTGATCCGTCCGCTGGGTCAAAGTAGGTGGTCTCGGCACCCAGACCCGTCTTGCTGTTGAAGTAGGTCTGCACGCATGTGTTAGTGATGTTCTCGGCCATCTCGAGATGGATGGCGTTGAGCTCGGGATCGCCAGAGATGTTGGCGGCGACGCCCAGCGCGAACATGCCTCCTGACATGCACGCCAAATGCTCCATTGTGTGTGTCTTTGTTCCATGCTTGTTGATGGACAGGAAGCCCTCGCCCTTCTTTGACACCTCGTACAGGTGCTTGCGCATGCCCTCCACCGAGTCCAAATACATCCTCTTGTACATGTCGTGCTGGGGATGGCTGTCATCAGTGTACATCCACATCTTGAGCAGATATTCGTAGAAGGAGTCGGCCATCGAGCCCATCGAGAGCGTGTCGACGCAGAACGAGTTCTGGTTGAGATAGATGGGGAATAGGCCGTCGACCTTACCATTCATCGAGTCGAGACGCTCCAGGATCGTAGTCGCCTTCTCGTTATAGATCGGGTTGCCTGTCACCTTGGACAGGTGTGTGAACTCGATGAAGAGCGTGCCGACATCAGCCAAGATCAAGCAGCCGCCTGTCCAGGGTGCGATCTTTGACGTGCCCTTGGCAAAGTTGATGTAGGTGTTCGGGAATGCTGCTCCCGCTGGCCATGCTTGCAGCAGAATGATTCCAATATCCTCAGCCTTGTCCAAGAACATCTTATCCTTTGTCTGTTCATACATCGCCAAGTATCCTCCAAGCATTCTGATTGTTACTTCAAACACAGACAATCCTTCGCCCTACAGTTATGATATGTGATGTGAGCGAGTGATCAATCAATCAATCAATCAATCAAACATACAGTATCGATCCTGTGATCAAGCTTTGTGGCAATCCATTCGCGAGCAACCTCAAACTCCTTTTCCAGACCCATGAAGTAGAGTGTGTCCATGCCATCGACGATGGAGAGTCCGAGATGGAACCAGTTCTTGCCTTTCCTTGATAGAGGAGTCAGCTCGTCCCAGCCCATGGCAAACTGGACGTACTTGTCCCAGGCAAACTTCATCGCGCTCCTGACTGCATTGGCGCGCTCGATATTCTTATCGCGATTCTCTTCGTACGACTGTCTCGTCCTATCGAATGGATTGAATTTGTAATTGTTGGTCGTATGTTGTTGCTGTTCGTCGCCCTTGTTCACTTCCTCGCCGACGCCACCGCCTCCCTCCTTATTCTTATCCTCGATCATTGGCACTCCATTGTTTGCAGCATCATCCAATCCCAATGTCTGTGCAGCCGCTATCGTAATAGTAGATGTACCCAGTGGTGTCTCCACGTCGCCACCAGGAATATGTTGTTGATGTTGAGTATTCTTTGTTGTAAATGTATCCTTATCTCTAACCTTCTTTGTTATGTTACTGACCTGTATATAGTTGTTGTGTACATGTATTAGTGAGTCACTAATCAATCAATCAATCAATCAATCAATCAATCAATCAATGTACATACTAATACATTCTGCCACTTAATAGATATCTTTGGTGGCTCTGTCGGTCTTTTGGTATCGAAACTAAGAATAGTGATTGATCCAATCAAGAAGATGACGGTGAACATCGCCAATACTATATTCTTCCTGATTACAACCATTCTTAATTATATGTATAATATATTTATATGTACACAAAACAGATAGATGAATGATAGATTGATTAGATTCGTCATTCAATCAAAAATAAAAGGGGTCTGGTTCGTGTCAGCATCACACACCCTTTGCCTCAACGTCGACTACGTTGCGAGCCAAAACAAGCTCACTTTTTTGGACATCGCCAGGTGTGATTGGGTGATGAGAATGCTGGAGAATGATCATTGAATACCATCAAATATCAAATATCTGATGACAATCAATAATGTCGAATAATAGAATGTTATAACTATGCCACATGGTCATATCATGCCACATAGTCTAATTCTTCTGACCAACTCCAATAAGGGAAATTATAAATTACTCCATTAATGCTTTGTCAATTTATCGGATATAGTGTAGGATTGTCTGACAATGGTTGGATCATATACCTCCCATCTAGAAGCTGGGAAGATATGTTTGTTCTTATCATACCATGATTTCTCAACTACCTTGGCAGCATGTGTCTACACACCAGGATGAATCAACATGTTAGAATGATTGATTGAAAGGTGGATTGATGGATGGAAGGGAACTTACCTCATCCTTCTCAACAGAAGCATCGCTCACTAGTCTAACATCATCATGTACATCAAACTTGAATAGAGGTCCACTCTTGCCTCTTGCTTTCTCAACGATCAGGTCATAGAATGAATAGTTCTGGAAAGATTGATTGGTTGATGGGACGGGAAATAGAGAGGTCAGTCAAAACTGAACTGGATGAGACAATAGTGTCTACTACTCTGTAGCAGTACATACATGTGGTATTATAAGATCCTCCTTGATGAACATCATATGGTCGACAGTTACACCTCTCAACTCTTTGAACTCCTGTCGGACACGCTCCAGGAACTTGTCGATTGTGGTACCCTTGTTACATTGAAGTTGTCTACGATGTCCACTGCCATCCCAATAACTGTATGTGATCTCTACGACCTCTGCCTTAATCTTTTCTTGCTCCTCAGTCCAGATGCGCGCTAGTCTATCGCGCTCGCGTTGTTCAAACTCCTCTCGCTCCTGGTCTGGCAAGAAGTCTGTGTTTACCAATGGGTTCTTTCCAAACATCTTTGGCTTGCTGCTGGTGCCTGTACTTGTGGCTGCCACCGTTGGCTGCTCATCCGTCGCAGATGATTCGCCATTGCTCGGTGCTACAGTGGTTGTATCATTGGTCTTCTTTTCCTTATGCTTCTGCTCTTCCTCTTCTTGCTCTTCCTCGTCCATATCAAACGATAGAGTATTCTTTGCAATCATTTGTTTCTTCTTCTTCCTTTGTTGATCGGCCTTTTCTGCAGCCTCTCTCTTCTTGTCATTGGCTGGGTTCTTTTCATTGGTACTACTGCTGTTGCTAGCAGTGTTTGTTTGCTTGTTAAACTCGTTCATTGATACTAGACCGCCTGTCTTGATTACATTGTTGGCATCATTACCAGATTCAAACTTCTGGCTTATACTGACTACAGAGTTCTTTGCCTCCTCCTTCAACTTCTCCTTCATCTTATTGAGTTCCTTCATTTCATTCTCTCTCTTCTTCTCAAACATCCTTATCCTCATACCGTCTCCCTCTCCACCTTTATACTCTGCCATCTTATTATTATCTGTAGTACAATGAATGAATGAATGGACGAATAATATGATATTTGTATGTTAGTTGTATGAATGTATGTACATTAATTAATGAGGTTGATGAGTTGACAGCAACTCCTTTTGAAAATCTGCCAATGATGTGGACGAGGATGTCACTTGTTTCGTTTCATTCGTCAGTCGCACAACCCTACCTAAACATATATACACAGAATAATAGATAAATAGATGGCTGACAGCGATGACGATGATTTGTCTTTGAGACCTGACACATTGGCTGTATTACAGCAGTTCTTGAAAGAACAATCTGCTCAACAAGAGACAGAACAACAGGGAACAGACATTGGCGAGGATTGGAACCTCTCTCAGTTTTGGGTACGTGCAGCTGCGCAGTGGATCGTAATGCACAACTCGAGTACTCATTCATTCATCCATTCATTCATTCATACATAGTACGAACCATCAACATCACAACATGTTGCAGAGACTATAGCAAAAGAGATAGAGGGAGAGGGAAAGAAGCGAGTGCTGTTCCTATCGACACCATCTATATTCAAAGCAGTACATCAAGACGAAGCACTGTCTAAGCAGTTGGACTACCATCTGTTTGAGTATGATAAGCGTTTCGGAGTGTTTGGCGACAGGTTCCGCTTCTACGACTACAGGGATCCAGTTGGCTTCCCAGCGAGCTACAAACAATCATTCGACTACATCTGCTTTGATCCACCCTTTCTCAGCCAAGAGTGCATTGAAAAGGTGGCACTGAGCATAGAGGCGCTGTCACACGCCTCTACCCGACTGCTCATTCTCACTGGTCGCATTCAGTGGCCACACATCAATCGACTCTTTGCCAACATGCGCGTCTGTAAATTCAAGCCCGAGCATCCACGTCTCCAGAATGACTTCTTCTGCTGCTCCAACTACGACTCTGAGCAGCTTGGAAGAGAGGAGGAGGGTGTTTCCAATACCGCCAGCACAAGCAGTAGTAGTTGAAGCTGGACACATTGGAATAAAGTGATACAGGAGGAGAAAGGTGACTTTATTGGTTGTTTGGTTGTTTTTTTGATTGGTTGTTGGACGTTATTGTTACTGGGCTGGATGCTTAGAGGTTTCCTCCGCATGATCCACAGAACTTGGCGCCAGCGGTGGCCTTGGTGCCACATGATCCACAGAAACCTGGGGTTGGACCAGTGCTGATTGGGACTCTGTTGGTTGATTGGTGAAGGTATAGTATTAGTATCAATGTTGTCAATGTTATAGCAGAGCAGAGTTCTCACAACTTCCAACTCCAGCAGCCCTCCTTCCTTCCTCCAGTCTTGTTGTTGTTATTGCTCTCTCATCACCCTCCACTCTCACTCTCTCTCTCTCTCTCTCATCACTCTCTCCATCTTTGTTTGGAACAATGCTCTACTGTGGTCTGGCTGGGACAGCGCTTGGCTTGCCACCTCCGGAAACGAGTCTCTTAACGGCCTGGATGTTCTGGATGACTTGGTTCAAGTTCTTGGCCTCAAAGAGGTCAACAGTCATGAAAAGGTCGGTGGTGGCCATACCAAGACCTCTGCAGAAAGCGAGGTAGTTTCCAATGTTCTCCATCTGGACGAATGGAGCAGCAGATGGGGAGCTCTTGCATGAACCTGGCTTAATCTTGTTGGCAAACCTTTATGTGATTGGTTGATTGAAAGAATGGTTGGCATCATACTTGGAGAAGGAGGAGTAGGTAGTATCATATACTTACTTGCAGAGAATGACACCAGACTTCAGGGCCTCAGCAAAGGACTTGCCAGCTGGGAGTGGCTCACCAAGGGTGGACTCGATGTATGCAATGCTGTCCTTCTCGAGGTTGCTGTCGTAGAGAGCCTCTCTCTTGGCAGCCAAATCAGCATCCAATCCAAAGTGGTAGTTAGTATCAGTCATTATATTATATGTTATGTATTATTATATCTTTTAGTCTTAGACTTTATGATGTAGTGAGTGAGTTAGATTGATGAAGTGTGTTGTTGTTGAAGGATGAGTGTTGTTGCTGAAGCAGAATGGAATGGGTTTGTTGAACAGCCATCACCCAACAATTTTAAAAATAAATTATGTTTTTTGATCAATTTTGATGGGTAATTTTCATTGAATGTAAGAAATACTTGTAGTTGTAGTGTCTGTTGTTGTGTTCACGAGGGAGTCTTTGGTGGATAGACAACACGACTTGACAACCTTGTTTTAGTCTATGTTTAGCGTGTGCAAAGCCTATCAACGAGGTTAATTAATTAATTCAGGATGGACAGGACAGGACAGGACAAGACAGGGAATGGTAATGAGATGATGAGTTTGTAACTTGTAGATTTATGTACACAACTCTTGTGAAGTAGTAGTTTTAGTAGTTGTTGTTGTTGGTGCTAAAGATTGTTGATCGCGTGTTGTCGTGCTCCTGTTGTGTTATACGATGCTGTTTGTTTCATTCCAAAACCGCCTTGTTAAAGGTTGAGATGTTGGAGTTCATTACAATGAGTAACAATCCAGGTCAAGTCAAGATTGTTTGTGATGACTTGTTTGTTTGGATTGCCACCCAGAGGTTGTTCGTATCAAGAGTTTGACGGTATTGATTCAGTCTAGCACATAGGTATTATTGTGATCCTATGCGCTAAACCTATCTTGATCACCCACTTCGCACTGTGCAGGATGCTATATGTGTCTCTAAAGTTAGTGATGGTTGATCGAGTTGATGTTGTTATTGATGTTGTTTACACATACGTATAGACTTCATGGTGCCCATTCTACCGCCACCGCCGCCAGCGCCTCCACCTCTTCCATATCCTCCGCCACCTCCACCACCTCCTCCACCATATCCGCCAAAACCATCGCTTCCTCCTCTTCCCTTGTTCTTATATTTCTCTGTGGCAGGGTCTGATACCAATGTGTGGAAGCTAAATAAACGTTTGAGTCAAATGAACGATAATGTTAACAATGAATCTTCTCTCTCCTTTGTTATGTTGTACATACAATGCTAGAATCTGATTCAGAATGAACCAAAAGTACTCTCTTATTGTCTTTATGCTCCAGAATGTCTTCTTTGTCACTGTTCCATTCTCTGTATGTTTATGTATCCAATCAATGTATGTATTGATCAATATATTGTGTTCAAATCACTACTACTGCTGTAGCTGCTACTGCTGCAGCTGCTGCTGTTCGAGTGCATGCATATCATTATCATAACATACGTGAGACATATGTTGAACGACTATCAACATCCATTATATATTAAAGTAGGATTTATAAATCTGTGTTTTTGTGTGGCTCCACAGTATCGCCTATATCTATGTACAATCGCAATACTAATACTGTATATATATATATATTATTATAACAATAGAACAATGAATGATCCAATATTGTGTGTTCTAGAATGAAATACACAGAGTGACGCGTCACCCAACATTGCTAGCTTCCAATTTCTCAACTTTACCACAAACACACACAAACATACAAACTGACTTGTGCTCAAATGGACGGGAAATGCATTCATTGGGTTTATTTGGCAATGACCAGAGCCAAAAGTGATGTTGATTGATTGATTGATTGATTACTTGCGAGCAGTGGCATAGTTATCGATGAACCATTGAGCACTGACCTTGACTGCCTCCTTCATTGGTGTGAAGGTCAGGTCTGGGTAAAGTGATCTAAGCTTCTTGTTGCTGGCTGTCTTCTTGAACTGACCATCAGCCTTGCTTGTATCAAACTAAAGTTATATAATGAGGCACATGTATGATTAGTGTTGTGTAATGATGATTGATTGATTGGATTGAATGATTGAATGATTGGATACATACGACAATCTTTCCTTGGAAGTTCATTGCCTCGGCAATTGTGTGAGCAACGTCGGCAATTGAAACCTCATCGGCCTCATCAACGGATAGAATGATTGGGTCCAACTCCTCATACTTGTCCAACACCCAGACAAACAACTTGGCCAGGTCCAATGAGTAGACAAACTGACGCAGTGGCTTACCAGTACCATAGATGACCAAGTCAGTGTTATCCTCTATCAATGATTATTACAATGTTAGTCAGTTGTTTGATTATCTTGATTGATTATACTCACTCATGGCATTGTAGGTCTTGTGAATCAAACCTGGAATGACATGGCTGTCAGCCAGATGGTAGTTGTCATGTGGACCATAGATGTTGGTTGGAATGACAGTAGTGAACTTGCAGCCATGCTGTGCGTTGTAGGCACGAGACAACACATCGATCATTCTCTTGGCATAGGCATAGCCTTCGTTTGAGAAATGAGGTGGGCCATTATGGACCATAGTCTCATCGATTGGATAAGTAGTCTTGTCTGGGAAGATGCAAGTTGACAGACATGATACACACTTGACAACCTGTTGATCGAATGAATGAGTATATGCTGTATTTGATTGATTGACCATCACTGACATACCTTGAACTCATGGCAACAGGCCAATATATTATCATTGATTGCGATGTTCTCGCGGAAGAACTCGACCTTGTACTTCATGTTGGAGAAGAGACCTCCGACACGGGCGGCAAGATGAATGACATGGGTTGGCTTGTATTTCCTAAAGATGGCTTGGGTCTGCTCCAATGATCTCAAGTCACCGTCTGCCGATCGCAAGTAGACCCACTGTTCATCCTTTCTCGCATCGCCCTGTTGTTGGATATAGGCTTCAATACCTTTTCCAACCAGACCAGTGCCACCAGTGACCATAACGACCTTTTGTGCAGACATCCTTATTTTATATGTTTATATATCACGTAGTAATAACTTAGAAGTACTTGTAATAATGAGTGAATGAATGCGTGAATAAGTTAGTGAGTTGGAGTGAAATGAAATGAAAAATGAGGCACAAACAAGGTGCCAACGTTGTCGTTTTTGAAGATGAAATGGAGAAAGTGGTTGATTCTAGGTCTTTTTGTGTGTCTTTTCAAAGTTTTGGTTCAGATATTGCTTTGGCTTCTTGAACAACATCAACCTTCATTTAGAATGATAGCTTTGTATATTCGATCAAATAATTATATTTATAATAATCTTACAAGGAATAGAATAACAACTTTAACATCATTATTATCAAACTTCAATCATCACCAACATCAACAACATCATTATTTCAGAAACATGTCCACTACAACAACCGCACCTGCATCAACCACAGTATCAATCAGAGGTGAGAATGTACCCGTCACACTGGTACCATCACTAGATGTACCAATCCAGACTGTAATGTATATTAATTGATTAATTGATTGAATGATTGAATGATTGAATGATACTAACTCAATGAATGAATGAATGATAATGACAGGCTGTGAATGCACCAAACTTCCAAAAGTGGATCAAGAAGATGGATAAGCAGGATCAGTTGAAGGTTAACTCGATACTTATTCAATCGATTGATATGTTTGGACCAAATGTAGGATTCTTGAAGTTTAAGGCAGAGGTACATGCGCTGCCAGAGAAGAGACCTGTGCCAGGTATCATCTTTTGTAGAGGTGGATCTGTGGCAATCTTGGTCATTCTGACCTCCAAGGAGACTGGCAAGGAGTACTCGTTGCTAACGGTGCAGACTAGAGTGCCCGCCGCCACATTCGCATACAGTGAGATCCCCGCCGGCATGCTCGATGGCAGTGGACACTTTGCTGGCGTGGCCGCCAAGGAGATGAAGGAGGAGACTGGAATCGATGTCACTGAGGACAGGCTGATAGACATGACCAAGCTGGCCTTTGGCGACAGTGCTGAGGGCATGTACCCCAGTCCCGGTGGCTGTGACGAGTTCATCAGATTGTTCCTGTTCCGCGACACGCTGGAGCAGGCCAAGATCGATGAGTTGCAGAACAAACTCACTGGATGTCTCTCTGAGAACGAGTCGATCACCCTGCACGTCGTGCCCTTTGACGAGCTTTGGAGAAGAAGTCCGGATGGCAAGACCCTGTCATCACTCTTCCTGTACGAGAAGCTTAGAGCTGAGAAGAAGTTGTAAATGTTGTTGTCAAAGGATTGACTTTATTAATGGTCCTGGCGATGGATGGATGGTCACAGTGCAAGGCATGGCAGGGCAGGGCAGGTGGTGTATGTATAACGTAACTCCTCCTCACAGAGGACACCCCGATCACTACTTGTTGGTGGCATTGATGTTGTACACTCCAATAAAGTTGTTGTACAAGTCTAATATTATAACATGGATGGTGTTAGTATCCATGTCCATTCAATCCAATCAATCAATCAATCAAACTTACTTCCAATGTAGACCAATCCATCCCTCTCCATTGCAGATGTCACTGTCTTGAAATGTGAGTTCTTGGCAGATTGCAATGTTTGAATGATGTCGCCAGTCTAGTGATTGAGTGAGGTAGAGTCAGTGATGGTTCCAGTGACCGAATCAATATTCAATCAACTTACATTGGAGTTGGCAATGGCAACAAATGGGGGACTGATGGGAGGAACAAAGAATGGTAGTCTAAAGATTGACCTCTTGATCATTGGATATTGAAGGAAAAAGTCAAGTATCCAGGTCCTTCCACCATAAATACCAATGTAAAGTCTGTTATCCTGGCCCAGTCTAATTCCATCTGGGAAGCCTGGCAAGTCACTTATGAACACTGATGCCTTTCCAGCTATGATTGATTGATTGATGGATGGGTCAGGAACCATGCCACTCACACACTCATTCATTCGTTCGATTGCATACCATTTGGACCTGATATCCAGTATCTCCATATCTTGAATGTAGCAGTCTCTGCGACAAACACACTCTCATTGTTCTGATCCATTGTCACTCCATTGGCATACTGCAATCCATCAATGAGCACTTTGACTTCCTTAGTCTTTGGGTTGTAAGAGAGTAGTCTAGTTGTTAAGAGTTGGTGAGTTAGTGAGTGAATGAGTGATATCACATGTAGTTGGATAGGACTGGTGACCTGTCATATGACATACTTTCCATTGGGATTTGAACTGATGCATGAGAACATTGATGGAAGTTGAGTGTTCCAATCACCTTGACTATCATATATTGGAGCTATTGATGAGCTGTCTGAGAAGTATACCATTCCATCAGGGGCTGATGTAACATCATTAATGAAAGTCAACTTCTTTCCACCATAACTTGTTACCAATAGTGTAGCCTCCTTTGTATCCTTGTCCACACGGATCAAACCTACAGTCATTGATTGATAGATTGAGTCAGTGATTGAATGAGATACATCAAGGCGAGCAAGATCATACCCTTGACTGCATCGGCCACCAATAAGTTATCATCATGATCAAAGTGGATACCAAGTGGACGTCCTCCATGGAACAATGTCTTGCTCTCATGAATGACATTGGAACCATTGGTATACAGTGCACTAAGTGTGATTGGTGCCTCAATATATCTAATCTCTCCAGACTTTAATGAGAAGTATACATCACCTCTCTTGTTAATTGTGATTGATTCTGGTCCCTCATGGATACCTTGTTGTTGTGTAATGTGTAAGTCAGTCACATGGTAACAATCAATCTTGTTTGATCAGATGGATGGTACACATACCTAGTTCAATGTATTGAGTGTTGGCCTCTAATAGTTGGTTGGGTGCGTATGGACCTTCTCTGCTTGGTATGGGACCAGTGATGAATGGTCGGAACTCAATGTCAGGTGTCAATCTATGTGTGAACAGACCCAACGGTGGATAGTATGACAGTGTTCCAATGTACACTGCCAAACAAAGTAGCAATGCACTCAATGTACTCATTGCCATTTCTTATTACTTATAACTTATTACTTATTATTATCTCTATTCTAACCCTACTAACTTACTTAATAATGATGGTAACAAGTGTTCATCAATGATGATCTTCATCATACTCACATTAAAATGATCCGGTGCCCTTCGATGGATCGACTGATCAAGCCCAACCCCACACTCACACGCGAAGTGTGACGATTCGCAGATTGAGGCCCAATCAAACCCACACAATTTGGTCCACAACATGGTGTCAATTGATGGGTCAGTCAGTCGAGGACAAGGAAGGAATGAAGTAAGGATAAAGGGGAAGGGGGAGAGGTATGTATTGATGGATGGTGATGTCTTAGACGGAACCGATGGATGAGAAGGATGGCTGATGGCCACCAGAGTCATCTCCATAGTCGTCATTGTTGGCCTCGATTGGCGTTGTACAGTATGGTGAATTATTGATGCCATTGTAGAGTGCAGGCGCAGGACTGTTCTTGAATAGTAGCGATGTGGTCTCCTCGTCAGAGTCGTAGCGCTGTGGGTCCATAAACAGACGTGCCAGGACCGCCTGGCTGCTGATTGTGAGTGATCACGCGGCCTGGTGGCGCCTGTCCAGTGGTCGGTGATGGGTAGTACTGATTGCTCTTGCGCAGACCACCGATCTGAGTCGTTGGTATCCTCCAGAATAGTACAAGTATCAGAATATATGGTAATATTTCCCAAATGAAGAACATAACAATGACTATAATACTCTGTGCCAGTGATTGCTATATGATTGATTGATTGAGTGAGTGAGTGAGTAAGTGGATGGAATGATACCATGAGTGTGAGTGTGATTGATGGATTGGATACTTACACATCCGAGGTCAATGCTTGGAATGCTTCCAATGGCAGAGACAAAGTCAAAGACACATCTTGATGTGAAGCAAAGGAATATTATGAATGTGATTGGTATAATGGACATTGGAAGTTGTGATTGTAATTGCTAAAAGAATGATTGAGTGGAATGAGTGGAATGATTCCAGGTGTGGAGGTATGTTAGTGAGTGAATGTTCCATCGACTCCATTCCAAGTGATGTATCATGATCATTGTGATATTTACAGCGCTCTTTGTAGACTTGATTATCCTGTTTAGTCTCCATCCATATACTGCCAAGATTGTGACGAGTAGAAGGAAGACAACACCAGACAATATGTACATCAGTTGATCCATCTGGTTCAACTGCTGGTCAGTTGCGCCTCCACAATCGCCATTACTACCACTGCCACTCGATGATGGTGTCGGTTGATTGAGTGAGTCCTTATAATCGAATGCGATCCAAACTTTGATTGATCAGGTGGGTTGGATTGAGGTCAGATATTATCCGGGATGGAATGATTCCATTTATATATACATACCACATTGAAGTACAAGGAGTACAGTATTGACACAGACATAGATTATAGTGAATAACTTCTTGGTGGACTGCTCCCAAGTCTTACGATGCACGACATGTGCGTAAAAGAGCACCAACAATGAGTAGGTGGCAAACTGGATGTTGATTGGTATGTTGAGCAATAGATTGCTGACCAGTCCATTAGTGTCCACGTAGAATGTCAGCCAGAACACTGATCGCAGAACACCCCATAGCAGTCCAAGGAACAAGAATCCAAACCTGAATGAGAACTTCTTATGTCTAATATTGAGTGTGAGTGAGTGTGAGTGTGGGCTGAGGCTTGAGGCTTGAGGCTTGAGGCTGAGGCTGAGGCTTAGGCTTCAGGTCCTGGTCCTAACTGGACTTAACATACTTATTATATATGATCCTTCCAATTTGGAAAGCAACAACTAATGTGATTGAAATATACAGAACAAATAATGGAAATGTGATTGAAGTAAACCAGATCATGTTTGTTTGATTGATTGATTGAATGATCTGTACACACTCGAGTGTTAAGCTTTCATTTACTCCTCGTTATATCTCTTTATCTCTTTAGTATGTGTATCTGTATGTTTTTGTGTATCTGTAAATATATGTAATATACTGGGGTATGTTGTTGAGTCCTCACAGCTACTACTACTACTTCTACAACAACAAGGTGAATGTGAAAGGATGTCAATTAATGATTGTGAATGATCAATCACACTCAATCAATCAAACAATCACACACATACAACACAATAATACAGTTAGGTATGCACCACCCTCTCGATGGCAACAGCACAGAAAGTTAGGATGAAAGATCTGCCCTCCCATGCGGCACACACCATTGCATCCACGAGGCAAATCAGACCCCCTGAGCATGAGAATGAATGAAGGCTCCCCACACTCCAAGATCAAGGAGGACCACACACCAAGATTTTTATTTGCAAAAAAGGTGAGCAGACGTCACCCGAGGGACTGTGTCCTTCAAATAGGTTAGGTGGATGCCGACCTTTGGCCCGCGAGTGTGTGAATGTACAGGTAACTTCCGGAAGTTGGATTGATTACCATCAATCAATCAATCACTGGTCTTCCCAACGAACAATGCCAATGGGCCATTGGGAAACTGGCAGACATATGTTACAGACTTGAGTAGGTTTGCCCTGGTCCATGCTGCATGACGATGATGGACCGTTGGAAATTCGAACACCATTGCATCCATCTCGATCACAAAGGTATCGCTTGAGGTATGCCTGTTGCGACTTACTCTGGACTGGCTCGCCACCCTTGGCCGATCTCCTGCCTTTGGACGACTTGGTGCTGCCGGCACTACCGCTGCTGACCACAGCACATCCTGGACAGACGCAATTGAAGAAGTACGAGTCGAACAGCTTTGTCTTGCGCTCTTCATTGGACAATGAGAGTTGGATGTAGTTGTAAGAGAGCTCGGTGCCCGCTGGTATATCGGCCAGGGCAATCATCGAGAGTGCGCCACCATCACCTTCACGATTCACTCGACACACATTCGGTTGACATGAATGATTAAAGTATGACGCCATGATGTATAATGCTGAGCCAACCGAGCTGTACTTGTATGGCTCCAATGTCAATCCAATCTCGTGAGTGTTGCACTCCAATACGCACATCAGTCTGACAAGGTCCATCTGAGTAAGTCCACGCAGTACCTCTGTCTTTGTTGCTGCCGTGCCCATGTTCAGTCCTTTCTCGAGGAATCGCGCCACTTTGCCAAGGTCAGCCATGCGACTCGCAGAGAATTGGTGACGATTGTCGCACAGTTGTAAGACATTATCGAATGACTCTGATGTTGGCGCCAGGTGTCTCATAACCAGCACACGTAGACAGAGCTTCAACATTGATTTGCAATCATTGTCAAACATTGAAGTCGATGCCAAACGTTGATATTGTTGACATTCGATTGAGTGCATCGGTGTATCCAATTCACGACATTCAATTGAGCAGTAATATGTCGTTTGACAAGTGTTACATCCATCCAATTGTGATGCTTGTGATGATGTACATAGTTGTCTCAGACAACGATGACATAGTTGTCTTGCTAGAGCATCTCTATAGTTGATTGTATGAGCAAATGGTTGTTCATAGAGCACTATTTCGCCTCGTACTATATCCTTTGAGGCAACCAAGTATCTTCCTCTTCCTTCTACATGCCGCTGTATTACTTTGTTATAATAATGCATCGAAGATAGATATTACATGTATGTATCTCTACACAATGTTGAGGTAATTACAAGTTGTCAAACTAGATTGAGCGAGTGAGGGAATGGAGAGAGTGGGGAGTAAGTGAGAACGAAAGTGGACGCGACCTTTCACCCACCCTTGAACAAGACTCAATTGAAGGTAATAACACCAAAGTGTAAGTTCAAAGTTAATAACTACATTATTGGAAACATACATAATTACAGATATATAATATACAGATACATAATAATATACAGATAGATATAATATACAGACAGATATTTATTAAATAGAGAGATAGTTTGGATATATACTATTGATAGGATATATCAAACACAACACCAAATGTCACAACAAGGAGAGGACACAGTCATGGCTACGACCAACGACACTAACAATGAACAGAGTCTCTTTAGATCCTATATCACACAGTATGTTATAATTGATTGATTGAATGAATGATTGAATGAATGATTGAATGAATACTAACTAAATAATGTAACAAAAGATACTTTACACAGTTGACAAGAGGATGCAAGGAGTCTCTAAAGAGTCATTCACTATATTGTATTCACAATCCATGTATGTTGTTGGTCCTCATTCAATCGATCAATCACTCCAACTCACTCACTAACCAACTCAAAGTATGTAACAAACCAGAGGAGGATGCCAACTTATCAGCTGTAAAGGCAATAGAATATGCAAAGACGTTCAAGGAGAAGTTCTTGTGCTCATATCTGAAGGATAAGGAGAGTTTGATCTTTAGGAAGAATGAGGAGTCCATATTAGTATATCTTAAACGATGCCAACAGAAACAGGCATACACCTTCATCATTGTGTCCATCAAGGAGCACTTCTCACTTCCCTCCCAGGTAGAAGAGATAGCAAACAACAATCCTATCGTATGTCATTCTCTCTCAAGCCATCGACAATGCACCATCCACTTACTCATCCACTCTATCAACAACAGAGGCAGGCAAACGACACCTTTGATTACTTTAAAGGACTGAACCTGAAGGACACCAGGGAAATCTTTGACATCATTATGTCACTGGTAAGTCCACTAAACAGACAGATAGACTGCCAGACATCACTCACTCACTCACTGACTCACTCAATCAATCATATGATTCAGAATCGTGATGATGTCACCAAAGCATTGTTGGACTCACTTAGCGATCTTAGTGCATACCTCAGGTTCAACTCTTCTTCATTCACTACACCAACCTCATTGATATCATTTGTACTTCTCCTATCGGTATGTCATTATCATTGTCATTGTCACATGTATCCATCCAACAATGTTACTAACCTATCTCACTCTCAATCAATCACGCCATCCATCCAGAACCCATTCATCAACGATATTGATCACATCAGGATGTTTGAGAATCTCTGCATTGGAATATACCAACTGATACCTTCACTGCTGTCTGTGTTTGGGGAGTGGCTATCAACGTAAGAATGAACACTGGAATACTCAAACGATCAATTGATCAATCAATCATGCTAACATCTTCCATTCCAAACATTCATTCATCGCCATGTGATTGGACACTTGACAGATTCTCAAAGGATCACTTCACTCAAACATTGACCAACTTCCAGCAGTTCATATCTGTGCGATTGTTGACATCTGATGAGAAGCTGGAGCTCAACACTGACAAACCAATCATTGGCGCATGTGCATTCATGCAGCTTCTGGGTATGCATGCAAACTATAGTTGCTCACATTTGGTCCATCCATTCATTCATCACTAATTGATTGCTCATTATCCATTACATCATTCCATCCATCTATCCATCGATCACATCCACCATCCATCATCCACATCGATCAGACAACATCAACATCAAGAAGAAATACGTCGACTATAGGGATTTCTACAATGACATGGTCAACAACAACCTGAACCTAAGAGTGGACATCATGAACTATACCGCCGACACAGGGTACATATTGATTGATGCTGATTGACTGACAACATATAACTAACTCTACCTCTATCAATCAATGAATGTAGCTTCTCTTATACCAAGTATCCATTCATTTTGAATACATTTGTAAAGAGCACCTATCTACAAGTGGAGTATACGATACAGCAGGATCTGGTATGTTATATATGATGGACTGGAGTTGAACAACACGACACTAACATCATCACTCACTACACTACCTCAGCCAGAGTATTTGGTATTCCAAGTCCGCAGAGATAATATTATACACGACGCATTGAACAATGTAAGACAGGACAAGTGGATGGATGGCTGACAATCCATTCAATCAATCACAATGATATGCTGACACAAACTTAACCAACGATGACTCTAGATTCAAAACCACAAGTATGACATGAAGAAGGAACTAAAGATCAAGTTTAAAGGTGAGGAGGGTATCGATCAAGGTGGCGTCCAGAAGGAGTTCTTCCAGATTGTGGTGCGCAAGATATTCGATCCAGAGTTTGGAATGTTCATATATAATGAGAGGCTAAGGACATGGTGGTTCAACACCAACTCATTGGACAAGCTAGAGTTTGAACTGATTGGAATCGTAAGTTTGGTCTTTGACTGGCTCGCCAACCAATGTAGTCTGGTTGACTGATCAACGCCAACCTAACATAATATATATATTGGATCATCATCCAATGTAGATACTTGGCCTGGCACTGTACAACTCAATCATCTTGGACGTCCACTTCCCCTTGGTAGTCTACAAGAAGCTGCTTGGATATCCTGTGGACATTGACGACGTGGAGTCAGTGGAGCCGGTATGTTGGAGCCAGACGACAATCGCCACACAGTGATCATTCATACTCACAAACAACAATCACAATCACAATCACAGGAGATCTATAGGTCGATGATCAAGATGCGAGACACTACCGATGATGTCTCACAATGGTCAACATACTTCTCGGTGACCTATGACAACTTTGGCGAGACAAAGGTGCACGAGCTCAAGCCAGGTGGCGACAACATCCTGGTCGACAATTCGAACAAAGAGGAGTATCTGACATTGTACACAAACTACCTGCTCAACATATCCATATCAAAGCAATGGGTAGAGTTTTACAAAGGTTTCCAACTGGTGTGCGACTCTCCATTCCTTCGTCTACTAAGACCACAAGAACTGGAAGACTTGATATGTGGAGTTGAGGACTTGGACTTTACCGAACTGGAGAAGGTTGTCATCTACGAAGGTGGCTACACGAACCAAGATCAGACCATAAAGTATGTTGTTGTGGTCTATCTCCCACTAACCCATAATGGTTGTGGATCAATCTCTAACAATCATTGTCCTATCAATCAATCAATTAGATACTTCTGGGAGACAATACATGGATTATCCAACGAGATGAAGAAGAAGTTCTTGTCATTCTCGACTGGCTGCGATCGAGTGCCCTATGGTGGACTGTCCAAGATGCACTTCTCAATCCACAAACAAATCGATAGTGATCGTTTGCCATCCGCTCACACCTGCTTCAATGCGCTCATCCTGCCATGCTACCCAACCAAAGAGAAGCTCGAAGAACGTCTAATCAAAGCCCTTAACAATGCCGAGGGATTTGGTTTAAAGTAGTAGTATCACCTCAATCCCCCCCCTCATGCCTCATTCAGCAAGCTCTCTCTCTACATCTCTCTCCCTCTTACTGTCTCGCCTACATTTGCGGACTGCTACCCTCCCAAACCTATCCTCTCTCTCTCTACTCTTTTGAATAAACAGCTGCAGACGTATTAACATTAGACAAACAAGTACATTGGTGTCACGGTGGTATGTACGAACACCTTTACTCTAAAACGAGTTTGTATTCTCCATCGACATGAACAAAGTTGTTGACGATTTGGCAAATATTGTTTAGATTGGTTCTGTTATGATTTGGAAATAAAGGTACATGTCCAAGGTTAGACAAAGAGAGAGAGAGTCAGTTTGGAGTGATAGAGATTAGTCACTCGCGAGCATACTAATACTTACTCAATATCCTCCCTTGAGTGATTTCCTTGTTCGAGAAGGCGCATGGTCTTGTTGTTGATCGTCTTGTTTTGGCAGATGAGGCGAATCTCATCCATCACCAAAGCAGGGAAGTTGCTGCGAAGGAAGTTAGTCATACATCTGGAGAAGTGGTAGGTGATCTCATTGAAGTCTGTGATCTCGCGGAAGCTCTGCACATATATAGCCGATCGGCTCTCTATCATCTTTCCCTCCTTGTCAAAGGTTGTAGGTGGTCTAACTCTTCCAATAAAGTGATAGTAATGATTGGGCCTACAATGCAATGTTTGTTTGATTGTTTGATTGAGTGAATGAGTCAGTGAGTGAGCAAGAGCAAGGAACAAAGAGCATGCTCTGGACAATAACATACTTGAATGGATACTCCATCTCGAGAGAGTCTGTGAAGTAGGCAAAGAGACGGTCGGTACCATCTGATATTTGCAAGGTGACACTGCGATGTGTGGCGTCACTCTTGGTGGATGTATTCTCTTTGTACTGAGGGTTCTCTGTGAGGATGAAACCAACAACCTCTATCAACTCCACCTTTTTCTCTGATGTTTCGTTCATGAACAGACCTACAAACTCTCCAGCACCAGTCTTCCTTTGCTCCAAGTTATGATACTGCAATATAGTCATTGGGACACATGGAATTGGTGCATGTGCTACTTTCTCTAAATTTCCTTGTTGCTCTGCCATGATATAAAGATTGTTTGATTGATTGATTGATATGTGTATATGTATGTTATTATTATAATAGAGAGATAAATGAATGTGAAGTTATGTTTGGTTGAAGATTTTGATAAAGTTGGCGCGAAACTTGAATCCAATCTTTTCCAAGAATAAATCGAACTTCCAATTTGAGTTTCAAACACTTTTTGGTTGAGTTGTTGAGGAAAAACGAACGAATAAACAAAAAGACACTAACAATAACGTTAAATCTTCATCACGATCACATTGTAATAATAACTACATACATTATATAACATGAGCGACTTTAATAAGAAGAAGACACTGCATCCATTGTCAAGAAAGGCAAAGAGAGTCACAAGAGAGGGCTTCAGAGTTGTAAAGAAGGTCAAGCAAGTCTCTGCAAAGAACAAGGAACAGACTGTATTGTGTATGTCTATCTCGCACTGGCATATATCCATCGTCTACCTCATACTCACCTCGCTCATTCAATCAATCATTGACCTACAACAGATCACAAGGTGATGTGGTTCAAGTCAAAGATAGAAGAACAACCAAAGAGAGTATACTCAGCAAGAGAGATTGCAGGATTCATTGAGGAATATATTCAGAGGAATGATGATCAGTTGTTGGATCTAGAGGATATTAAGCGCAAGGTTAACAGATCAAACACGACCGACTTGTTGCAATCACTCAAGGATAATGAGACGTTGCAGTTCAATAAGGAGGGTTACCGTATGTATACATACTCATCGATGTGATCAATCAATCAATCATTCAATCAATCATACTAATGAATGAGTTGCAATGAATAATAGTCGTACCTGATATATCAAGAGTAGCAGCAGTCAAGTGGCTGACAGAGTGGGATGGAAATATGAAGGTTATAACCAATCTGCCAATGAAGAGATTCAAGGCAGTACAAGCTGAAGATGAAATAGAGACTACTACCACAACTACGACTACAACGACAACAGACAACAACAATGAAGATGAAACAATGAAATCAACACCATCCAAACCATCTCTACGTACTCAACTGGAATCACCTGCTACATCCAATCCATTTGCCTCGCTCTCCAAGTCACTTTTGCAACAACCAGTGTCCACCTCGACGCCAATGACATAAATCTTGCATCATACAGTTATTTGTTATCAATGATCTTCATCCCTCTCCCTTATGACACACAGTCCTCCACGATTGAACAACACATGCCACCTTGATCCTCCATTGAGGGCCAACAACACAATGGACATGTCTACTACTATAATTTGTATTATTCATCTGATTGATTGTCATATTATACATGGAGTATGAGTCATGTGTTGACTTCAAATATGGTATGACTGGTTGATTGATTAATTGAGTTAGTGAGTGAGTGATTGGAATCATTCCAGAGTTTGATTGATTGAGTGAGTAACCCATGTTGATCATTGAATGACTATAACTAGATTGGTCCATTGCAAAGTCAGAGTCAGTTTGGACAACTCACCTGAAGACTTCAAGAGTATTGTTACACAATTACGTAAATCGTTTGTAAATGAATGAATCAGTCTGTGTGGGGATGCTTTTCAATTTTTATTTATTTAATTTTGAATTTGTGTTGAGTTGTGTGAGTGAATGTGACGACTTGGCTCAGCGAATAACATTGTCGCTAAGTCTAAGTACTTTGGTTTTCTCTCACAAGTCAGGATCACACATACAAAGGATTTAAAGAGTGTGTATATTATTACATCATCAACAACATGTCTGTCTGTCAACATGCTACTGCTACTACTGTTCGCGATAAACAACAACAATCAATCAATCATTCAAACTACAACAATATCAACAATATCAACAATATGATATGACGACTTGGATAAATCACATAATCATGTCAATGTCAAGATTGTACATATACAACAAAACGAACGATGATGATCAAATGGGTGAATGATTGCGATTCAATCACAGCAGATAGTACAACACATAACAGAGACACATTCTTTGTTTCATTCATTCATTCAACTTCAGCAGCGAGCAACAACAACAGCATCATCAATAACAACAACAAATGAACAACAGATAGCATTAGCATTGAGATCAGCGACATAGCATAAGACTAAAGAATGAAATGGCTAACAAACATTACTTCTCCTAATATAACAAACAAACAGAATGTCAACAGAGCTCATTTGGAACGTCATCGCCCCAACCAACGCCTACAAGATCACCAGATGTGGTGTTTCTTTCTCGTCCGAGCCAGGCAACCTCCGCAACAGACACTCGATCAAGTACTCTGGTTTGGCCAGACGCAAGGTCATTGACGTCTCCACCAACGCCAAGGGTGCCATCGTCTTGTCTGCCAAGCGCACCAAGAAGGCCGCCAACCCAGCCACCGCTTTCGGCAAGGTCCAGTTGTCCAACAACTACAGATCCTCCGCCAAGGCTGTCCGTTCCACCGCCTCTGGCTACGCCCCAGAGCTCCGTGCTGCTGCCCTCGGTCGTCTCCACCGTCTCAGAAAGACCGCCAACAATGCTGCCCGCATCCAGCGTGCTGCCGCCAAGAAGGCCGCCCCAGCCAACTAAAGCGCCCCACCCCAGCTAAATAAATTCTGAATACACTTTAAATCCAGCAGCCAACACCCAATCAATCTCAAAGGACTACCTACTACTACTGCTCCTCCTTTTGTTTCTTTCGTCTTCCTCTTTCATGCATTCATTGAAGTCATCATCGTCTAAGCTTTGGATTTGATTCGCCAGACCTCCCACAGACGCGCCAAGTGTTGAACCCCACGACACTCTTGTCAACAATAATGCATTCTCATAACAATTATTGATTTTTTGTGAAGATTCCCTCTCTGATCATTCACCACGCACAGTCCTTTCAACTTCATGAATCTGTTTCACAAGTAGTAGTATTGTTGTTGTAATAATAGTTGTAGTTTATAAACGATATATATATAGTATATAGTAGGATTGACATATAATATATAAAGTCATAATCGATAGGATATATATAGATAGATCACAACAAACAAACAAACATACAAAATGAGCAAAGAGCCAACGACCAATGGTTCGACAAATGAAGAGGAGGATATTTGGGGACAGATACTGAAGGAGTCATCAAACAAGGCGAACTACTTTGAGACAAAGAATGTCATTATGTTGGGTAAGTGATTGAATGATTGAATGAATGAATGAATGAGCGACACTCGACATTAACCTTAATGATACACAGGCGATCCAAACTCTGGTGGCACGTCATTGTTGGCAAAGTTCCAACCAGTGTCTGATGTGGAGCAGTTGCGTGGCATTGCACTGAGCTATACGTTCTGTGATGTGTATGAGGAGGAGAACAGCGAGGAGCCTATTGGACGAACCAACTTTTGGACTCTAGAGGGAGAGACTGCGCATCATGACCTGCTCAAGTTTGCTCTCACACCAGACAACATTGCACACTCAATGATCGTCATCACACTGGACTTTTCACAGCCATGGAACATCGTCGACTCACTCAAGGTATGTTCGTGCTGATCGTTCATGATCAATCAATCGATTGATCAATCACATTCATTTGCTCACATACACGCGCGTACCTCCTCACCTTACAGAAATGGCTGGGCATTGTAGAGTCACATATAAAGTCGATAGGATCGTCACAGAAGCAACTTATGAAGGGACTGGACGACAAGCTGATGATCAAGTGGCATCAGTATGTTGAGCCTCCACAGAACAGTGCGGCTGCACCACTGACGAACGCACAGAAGAAGAAGAAGAGAAAGGTTGTGCACGCACCCATCGAAGACATCAGCGTACTTCCACCACTAGGCGAGGATATACTCAGCCACAACCTTGGCGTACCAGTACTGGTCGTTTGCTGCAAGGTAAGTCATGTACATGTTCGAGGTGTGAGGTATGAGGAGTCATTCACTGATCAATCAATCAATCACAATCAAACATAGAGTGACTCTGTTGTAATGTTAGAAAAGGATTTCGATTATAAGGACGACCTGTTTGATTATATCCAACAATACCTCAGAAGGATATGTATAAGGTGTATGTATCCAAGGAGCCATGAGGTCCACGCGAGGCCTCCCTCAATCACTCACCAACACTCAATCACTAAATCACTCATTCATAGATGGAGCAGGACTGATTTATACATCAGCCAGGAAGGACATAAACTGTGATGTAGCATTAGAGTATATAGAGAATATGTTGTTTGGATACGAGCTAAAGTCACGTACACAACTCTTGGAGAAGGACCAGCTCTTTGTCCCAGCAGGTTGGGACTCACTGGCCAAGATCACCATGGACTTTGAGAACCAAAAGGTGTGCAAAGACGTCGAGGAGCTCTACGAGAATGTTGTAAAAAAGCCAAGTATTATAAAGCGAAGAGAGATGAACCAGAATGCCAACGTGATCGCAGACGATGACCAGGTAAGATATAACACACTCACTCCAACTTGGACTGGACGACTGACTGATCAATCATATATATTAGGAATTCCTGGCAAAGATAAAGAATAATGTAGAGAATGAACCATCTGAGCCATCGAAGGACACTGCCAACAATGCGGGCAACAGCAGCAATAGTATGGTTGGAGAGCAGAAGGTGGTTGAGTCAGGCTCATCCAGTCCTCTGAGGAACAGTGGAAGCACGACACCACCAAGCAGCACACCACCAGCCGAGAAGGCAGTGTTGGCAAACTTCTTCACGAGCTTGATCTCCAAGGACAGGACGAGCAAAGGACCCGGAGGTGCCAAGGACCTCAAGGCATCCCTCACAGCACCACTGCCAGCCTCATCCAACTCTGTCAGACAGGATGCGCAGAAGCAGCTCGAGAAGATGCAACAGCAACAGCAGCAGAAGAAGTGAGTTGGTTGTCTGTCCAGTTGTCCACTCATCATTCATCATCACCGCCAAACATAACGACAATACTATCCAACCATCCATTCCATCATTCCACCTTATATCCTATTCAATAAACTCATGAGTAAAACAGTAACCATCATCCGCCAGACCCGCCAATTGGATGTTGTGGTGTGTGCCTGTCATCACACCCTTTCAACTCACACACTTCTGATCAATCACACACTCTTGATCACTCACTGAATGATCAATCACAGACGATGATCAATGTTACTAAATTGACATTGTATTGTTAACAATATTAATTAACAAGAAGTAATAATTAGAGATCCATGGATAGAGCTGTGGAGTTCTTGGAGGATTGCGACCTCAATCCAAAATACAAGGAAGTGAAACATGGATCAAGAAATATGTTTGCCGGCATCATTATGCTGTTCTACTTGCCATTGTTATTCATATATTTATATTATACTATACAGCCACAATATGGATCATTACCATCATGTTGTGCATGTGCCAATATGATCACACCCAGCAACTCATGGGTCTACATGGCAGTGAACGATACCTGTTCAAACAGTACATCATGCAAGAATTACATCCAAACACAGTTAAAGTTGAACTGTGATGCGTATGTACATTCAATCATTCATTGTCATCATTCAATCAATCATACTAATACTCATACTCTACTTGAATGAATGAATGATTAGTGCACTTCAATATCTTCCAGTTCCAGATTATAACATTACAATCAATATTGCTCAGATTGGATGTGTTGGAATGAAACCAGGTGATACTTGTGACTCTGCTTGTATGGATGTATCCAATCGATGGATAACCAACCTAGACTACACCTATGAGGACAACAGAGATCAAGCAAAGATAAGATGTCCCTTCCAAATTGGTGCATGTGACTTCAAAGCAGTTTATAGTGCTCAAGAATCGTAAGTCAAACTGATGAATGATTGATTGAAAGACGTTTCAACTGACCAATCAATCATACATATAGTGTCCCGCATGCAGTATGTAGATACCCTGAGATCAGTGGTATACTAACAAAGTTGGGTGCTGGACTTGGATTGCTGAATGGTACATTGATCACATTCAGGTTGTTGTTACGTGCATGGTGGAATAGGATTGGAAGGAATGGTGATGCAAGTGGCACTATCAATGACTACTGGAAAGGACTATTGATTGGATTGATCTTCAACTACCTTGGCATTGCATATCTTACCGTGGCCACAGGAATCAACAAACGTTTCCGATATGGAGGTCAACTAGCTATTGGATTCCTAATCATATTCTTCAAGGTAACTAACCACCTCTCAATCATACAACTTTGGAACTATCCCTGACCCTTACTCCCCACCCCAAGTCACCATTCACTGTATACCTGATCATTATATTCTCACAATATTGGACACCAATGACGATTTTGTTCACACTTGGATGCCTTGGAGTATCAATTCTGATCAGGACAACTTATAACTTGTTGAACTTGGAGATTTATTCACGTAATTGTGTAGTGATGTCACAGGATATGGATCGATTCGAGAATGATGAGGTGATTGAGTATGTACCACCTGATCGTATCAAACCTGTACTCTACTCCAAATGGCGACACTTCCTCATTGGATTAGCATTCAATCTATTCGCACTCTATCCATTGTTGAGACATAATCTCAAAAGATACAGTGGTATGAAGGCTGGATTCTACTGCTCAATCTCCATTGGAACGTTGTTAATCGCTTGGACCACATTATATGCAATTGATGGCTGGCAATACTTCACCTTCAACTTCCCATTCCCTTTGTACAAAGCAGCGCGATCATCAAACAATGGCGATGGAAGTGATAGTGGAGGAGGTACCAACAACACAGCGAGTAGTGAAGGGGCGAGTTCATCACTAAACATGGACACGGCATCATTGCGACAACTTTATATAACATCCATTCTCCAGTCAACATACTTTGCCGTCACATGGTCTGTTACCATGGTCATCGTATACCATCTCTCGCTATTCATCAAGTATCTGCCAGAGACTGGATCAATCCTGCCTTCATTCATGCGCAGGCCACTGGGCACCAAGACACAGTTCCACATCGGCTTCATGGTGAGCATCCTCCCATTGGTATTCACATACTTTTGCTTCTTCTTCTTCAAGCTCGTGCCCTACGTCACCAGACCCCTGCCCAGCTCCCCGGACGATTGCTCCTTCCCCGGATGGTCATTGATCATACCAATGACCGGAATCATTCCAGCGATAGCACTGTTCATATTCGCGCGAACTGAACGCTTTAGATATGGATCACTGACAGCGATCGGTGTCAGTCTGATCGTGTTCTGTCTGGGTACATCAGCACTGTTATTCAACTATTGTCTGGGATCTACTCAAGACATCTACTATCCTGGCTCGTGGTTTGTCGGTTTGATTGGCACCTACATCCTGATCTACGGCTCGATTCGGCCCAATCCCATATTCATACTAGACAAACGAGAGCCAGGTGTCGAGTACTTTGAAGATGAACGATTACTCGTTGACAAGTCATTGAACTAAACTATAATATGTTTGATTGATTTCATTGTTGTTGTACTTGCACCTCATCCACTCCACTCACCATCTAGCATAGTGAACCTCAGTGAATGAGTGAATGTCGATGGCAAGACGTTCGCCAGAGTCGAGGAGTAGCTCGCCAGTGACACGTCCAACGATTTGGTGGAAGCTGGACATGACCAGACCAAAGTTGTTGTGCTCCCACTTCTTCTTGATCGGTGTGAATGTCAATGGTTGCTCGCCAAAACGTCCATGCTTGCAGACGAATCGCCAAGGCGCCATGAGGTCCTTATCGTCGTACTCAAACTCGATGTGGCCAAGCTTGTGAATGACTCCATCCACATTGATTGCATTCTCTGTATGAGTTGACAGGTCGCCAAAGCCTGAGCCCAAGTTCAAGCCAATTGCGCGACCATCGGCCGCCTTGCCCCAGCTTGTACTCCAAATCCAGAAGCTGTTGTAATCCCAAACTCCTCTTCCCCAATCCATAATTCCAAATGCCATGTTGTTCTTGTTGTCCTTGATGTCCTTGTCGTTGTTGTCATTGTTTGATTGTTGCTGCGGCAGGTACTCCTTGCCATTGATTTGTAGTGAGCCAGTGACAGGGATCAGGTTGGTCTTGCGATTGTAAAAGAAGTTGTCCTTGCCGATTGGCGTGCTCAGCACTACGGACTCTCTGTTTGGCGACAGGTCAAAGTGGAGATTGGCCACAATTCCAAGCTTTGCGCTGGTCACTTGAATATGATGAATGACTGACTTTTGTTGTTGATCGGTGTTGCCACTGTCGCCCTCAACGTCAAAGTGTAGTTTGAACTTGGAGGATGAGTATGCAATGTGCTGGCCATGTTGGCAGCTATCTCGTGGCAGACCCAGACTCTTTAGCAACGATGGCGATGTGATCTCCTCACACAACTGTTGCTTGTTGTCCTTGTTGGCATCGTCAAACTCAATGATGAATGTTTGGAAGTTTGTGACGTAGCCAAGGTCGATGGCGGCCACTGCAAAGTAGAAAGTAGGTCCTCCAACAGCGTAATAGTTCCAAGACTTCAATCTGAATGCCGATCTGAACCTTGACAACACATCAGGATTGTACTTCAACAAAGGTTGTCTGCACCATCCCCTATGTACCAACTGTCCCTTCTTGTCCAGCAGGTCATCACCATGATTGGTGATCTCATTCTGTTCACTAATGTTGACGTCAGTAGCTACATCATTCAATCAACAGATTGAACTTACTCTATTGTATCACGCGAGTACTTTACGTGAGTGGACATTTCAAGCCAACGAGGTAGTATTGTCTTTTGGTATATCTTCTCAAAGAGTATCAAGAATACAAATACAGGGAAGGTGATTGTAAGAAATATACCTCTACTAACTGTCTTTATCTTTGTCAATAATCTACAAAGTATTGATTCGTTGTCGTCACCGCTAGTCTTGGGCCTTCTTTCTTCTGTTGTTGTTGATGGTGACTTCATCGTTGATATATAGATCGTATGATCGTTTGATAGAGACTATCACGTAGGAGTGAGTGAGTTGATTGATGTTGTTATTGATGTTGATGTGATTGATGTGGATACATTGTGGTCGATCCAACCATCCTTCATTCAATCAAACACACTACTACATTTGCAACATCTTCAAATTGAATTGAACTGCACAACCCATCCAACTATCCACCCCCATCAATGGTACAAGTTCACTTGTAGGCTTTGATTGTTGAAGGAGTAGATCTTTAGATTGTTTACATAAAACGGATAAAATAAGGGGTTACACCAAATATAGGATAGGATAGGATATATGGATTGTTTCGGCCCGATGGAGAGGAGCTCTTTATATCTATGTGAACCTAATGACCTGGTCTCAATCATTAGAGCCATGACTCTATCTTTTAGCTGAGACTTGGGTTGTCAAATTGTTGATGACACTATTGCTTAATGGATAATGAGTTTGACAACTCAACTCAAATGATAACTTTGAGGCTCCGCATCTTGATTATGCCTTCCTCAAGATAATTGATATGTAGAGAGAAGTAGATCATGGATGGACAGTGTCGTTGAGTTGTTCCGCACACATTACTTGTTTGTCTATCTTGACAAAGATAAAGCGTTGTTTACACGACTTCACTTGATACCTTTATCGCTCACTGGTAAAAAACAAAATGTAGTTCGTGACTTATGATGATGAGTTGGAAGGACAAGGGCACACTTCATCCAATCTCAACATGGATTGTTTCAATCTTGCTGTGATTGAGAGAAGAAAAAACCAACTGTGCACTCCTAAAGCTTGTAGAGTTAACGAACTTCAAAATATTAAAAAATCTGTTGAATGGGAGAGAGCAAATCTCCAATAATGTGATCATCAATTAATCATTGAACAAACCTACTTACTTGTGAAGATATATATATATATATGTATATGTAAAGATAATAATAATAACAGTATAAGATACAACATTGAACAAAACAGATATATCAGACAACTACTACAAGATAGAATACAGAGTGAAGAATTATTGAAAGAATGGCAGAGGAGGGAAAAGCCATACCGGTGGGCAGTAGAGTGGCCATCAACAATAAACCAGAGATTGGTGAGGGTACAGTCAAGTACTGTGGAATGACCAAGTTTCAGACGGGTCGATGGGTTGGAATAGAGCTGGACGCAGCCAACGGCAAAAACGACGGTACGGTGCAGGGCGTCAAGTACTTTGATTGCAAGCCTGCACACGGCATCTTTGTCAAGCCGCCTGCCGTACTCGTAGTGTCGCTCCCTGCCGAGGCAGAGGAGATCGATGACTCCAAGCTGATGCCGCCTCCACCAGCGGTGACCGCTGCTCCACCAACTACACCCACGACATCGGGCTTGAAAGCACCGGCATCATCAGGCATCAGACCACCATCATCACTTGGCAAGAGGCCATCATTGACACCATCAACGACAACGACCACAACAAAGACATCACCACCTACAGTGACTCCAACACTCACTTCAACGTCACCAGCTGCGAGTGAAGCGCCTGTTGAGACAAGTCCACCAACGACCACAACAACAACATCAGGATTGAAGAAGCCTGCTGCAGCATCGAGCGATAGTACACCAGCACCAGCAGCTGCGACAACAAAGAAGGAGCCATCATCTGGACTCAGACCACCATCATCCATTGGTATGAGGGCTTCAACAACACCTGCTGCAGCGACAACAGAGACAAAGAAGACACCAGCTGCAACAAGTACTGCCGCACCAAAGACTGAGACAACCAAGCCAGCAGCAGCAGCATCAACAGAAACTTCATCGTCAAAGATATCGAGACTATCAACGTCAACTAAGCCAGCAGCTACTGCCACAACTGCACCAGCACCCGCGACTGCACCAGCTGCAACTCCTGCAGCACTACCAGCAACTTCAACCACAACCACAACCACAACAACAACTACACCTGTTGTCGTTGAGAAGGAGCCAGCAGTCGTGCAACAACAACCAACTCCTACACCCGCTACTCAGGCACCAGAGCCAACTCCTGTTCATACAGAGCCAGCTCCAGCACCAGCCCCAGCCACAACTCCAGCACCAGTCGCAGTCCAAGCAACAACTGCGCCATCACCATCAACTGCTTCACCAACACTGGATAGGAAGCCAAAGATTGTACAGGGCGAGGATGATGATGAGGAGGAAGAAGACGACGATGATGAGGATGACATCAAGGAGATCCTCAAGAGCACGCCAACAAAGAAGGCAGCTGCACCACAGATGAATGAGAATGTCGAGAAGATGATCAGTGCTATCAACGAGCTCACTGAATACAAGACCAAGGCACAGGGTATGATTATGACCATGATCAAGTTGTAGCATGTCGCGAATGATCACTAACGATGACGATCAATCAATCATACAGAGCAAATCGCTGATCTTCAGAACAACCTCAAGGAGGTCAACTTGTCCAAGGACAAGTCCATCAGGGAGCTGGAGAAGCAGGTGCAACACTTGGAAAAGTCACTCAAGGACAAGGACAAGGAGACAGAGAATGCACTCAAGAGTCAACAGAGACATGATGTATGTGTAGCGAATGATCAATCACTCGCTCAACAAGGGTGTGAAGGTGGATGACTAATCAATCAATCTTCAACAGGAATCGGCAGAGAAGCAGTTGACAAAGGAGAAGGGTCTTTGGGAGAAGGAGAGACTGGACTTGTTGGAGCAGCTGACAAACTTGAATGAGACGATTGAGATGATGACACTGGACAAGGAGTTTGCAGAGGAAAAGGTGGAAGTCGCCGAGAATGAGTTGGAGTTGGTCAGAAGCGAGTATGAGCTACTAAAGAGCAAGATGGAGGCTGAGGAGTTGGAGAAGCAGGCCGCCAGCAACAGCTCGTTCTCCACGCCAATGTCTGGCGAGGAGGGTGGCGAGAGCGCAGCCGTTCTCAAGGCCCAGAACGAGAAGCTCAAGGAGACTTTGGTCAAGATGCGCGATATGGCACTCAACGAGAAGCACGAGACCTCCAAGCGATTGAAGGACTTTGATACCACCGTCAAGCAGAACGCCGCTCTGCTGGACAAGGTGTCCAAGCTCGAGACCGACCTCACCAAGAAGCTAGAGGAGGCTGAGGAGCTGAGACAGGCACTCGAAGACGCCGCCACATCCGAGTCATTGGTGACCGATCTCTCCGAGAAGAATCTAGAGCTGAGTGAGCAGGTCTCTGAGCTGGAGACCATGGTGGGCGACTTGGAAGCCATGCGCGATTTGTCTGCAGAGCTGGAGGAGAACCAGGCCGCAGTCGAGAAGGCCCTGCGTTCCGACCTGCACTCAAAGGAGGTGGAGAACCTCAACCTGAATGGCAATCTGGCAAACATGCAGCTGAAGCAACAGGAGAACGAGAGCACAATCACTCAGTTCAGAACACTCGTGTCCAAGCTGCAGATCAAGATCGAGGAGTTGAAGCGAAACGAGGAGAAACATGCCGAACAGAACTCAATGTGGGCTATGGTCCAACAGGAGTTGCTCAGCAAGAACATCCATCTCCAGAACCAGGTGACCAAGGCCACGGCAATGGAGATCGATCATCAGCTGGAGAAGTACCGCTCGAAGGAGGCCTCCCTGCATCTGGGCTACGTCTCAGAGTTCCTGCCCGAGCAATCATTCTCTGCCGACAACGACTCGATCAAGATATTGTTGTTGCTACAGCGCATCGTGCTCAAGTGTGGTCTGGCGCAAAAGTACCTCAACAAGACTTACAAGGTCGAGGAGATTGGCATGACACCAACCAGTGGCGAGGCACCAGTCTTGACTGCCGGCGACGTGGGTCACTCCCTACAGATCATCCACATCCTGGACCATCTGTCCATCTCGGCCACATGGCTCATCGACACACTACAGCGCTGCCAGGTGGATCATTGGCTCAGAGCCGGACGCTCGGCTCGCGACCTCGAGCATCAGGAGAAGGTGCTCGACAATCTCCTAACACTGATCAAGCAGGAGCAGTACAGCACGGCCTATGCCAGCACCGACCTCGAGAAGATGACTGCCAAGCTGGACGCCATCCTCGCCAACGTCTTTGGCGATCGTATCCACAGGTCCGAATGGTCAACACTACTCAATCACATTCTGAACATCCAGTACGCCATCAAACAGATCATGCTCAACGATCACAACATCTGTTCGATTGCACTGCACGCCCAGCGCAAGTACTACTTCCCCCAGCAGCTGCTGAGCAAGGCACTGTCCGTCTGCCGCAAGGTCGTCAAGAACCTGCTGCTCAAGCCAATGCTCAAGCAGTCGTCCATCGTGAACGATATCCTCACGTCTTCAGAAGCCGTTTGCAAGCAGCTGTTGACATTGTTGATCGAAGGCGCACCAAAGGTCCACAACGACACATCCTACTTTGACTCATTGGTGGCCGGTATCGATATGAAGGCTGAGATGATTGCCTCAGCCACCAGAAGTGCTGCCGCTGACATTGGCGTCGACGACGACGACTCTGCCGCAGATAGCTCGCTGCCACCCCTTGAGCAAGTGTTTGGTCGCATGTCCTCACAGCTCAATGACGTCGTGGACACGATCCTCGCTGGTGACCTCCAGATGTCCGCACAGGAGAGCACTGACTTCTTGAACGTCGTACATCCATGGGTCGCTCGTGCACAGATCCTCAAGGCCGCACTCGGCGAGACGGGCAGCTTGAGAGACATGATCCAGGCAAAGGAGCAGGAGGCTCTGGAGAACACCAAGATGATCATGGCTCGCGATGCCGAGCTGTCGGAGGAGAAGCGCAAGGAGGAAGCACTCAACAAGCGTATCAAGACTTTGCTCAAGAGCGAGACAGACCTGACCGAGACCCTGCAGAAGGAGCAACAGTCACGAGCTGAGAACGAGACCACCTACAAGCAAGCGATCAATCGTCTACAGAAGGACAAGATGTCCATAGAGCAGGAGCACAAGTCACTGCAGGCTCGCTATGTGACGCTCGAGAGAGACCAGTCCAAGAAGGTCTCTGCCGCTCCTCAGCAGGAGCAACGCACCGACAATATTGAGACGGCGAGCATGCGCAAGGCCATCAAACATTTGCGAAGCGAGAACATCAGACTGAAGGCTCAGAAGTCTGTTCGCGAGCTTCAAGAGTTGGTTGGCAATTCCGGCAGCAGGTCTACCAAGTTGTTCAACCTCTCAAATGTACATGTCGAGCAGCCAGGCGACAACAGTCCTGCAGCAGCAGGTGCCGCGGCTCCGGCCACAAGCACCAAGACACCATTGCATGGAGTGAAGTTCAATGAGATATTGGACTACAGCAAGCAGGTGGACAGCTGCATTGGCGATCTGTTGGAGAAGATGGCCACACCCAAGGTGTTGGATATTAGTGGTGGAGGCGCTGCCGCAAGCAAGGTCGCCGACGAATACCGTAATAACATGGTTCAGAAGCAGCTACAGGTCAGTCAGCTGCAGAACAAGATGACGCAGCTCATTCAGAACACAATCTCAACACAACCATCGTCATCACATCACTTTGGACGATTCACAGACATTGCATCGGTCAAAGTCAGGAACGAGGTCAAGTCCACGCACATTGGCAGTGTCTCATTGCCTCATCCACATCGAAGCAGCAACAGCAACAGCAGCCAAATGGATCAAGAGATTCAGAAGCTGTTAAAGTCAGACAATGTACCATTCATTGTTCAAATGGACAACGTTCAATCATTCAGAAAGGTCCACTCGACATTTGTAAATTAGCCTGCGCGCTCTGATACTATTACTACGCCTTCGAAGGACTTGCAATAATAATAACAAATAACAACAAATAACAACAATAATAATAATTATAACAACAACAACGACCAATCTTTGGTACTTGCCAACAATGATGTGGCGACATCCTCTTCCTACTTCGAGAGTGAAGGGTTATTTGGAGGAGAATGGATCCTCCTCCTTCCTTCTGTCCTTCCTTCCTCCTATGCTCTCGAATTCGCTCGTCCAAGTCCATCCAATGCATGTCCTTCAAACAACAACAAGTCTGTCAGTGTCTCATCTTAATCCCTACATTCACACCCCACTACACACACGCATTGTCCTCACTCAGATTGATATACACGACCATATATGGTCATGAATTAGTTATGTGTGTGTGTGTGTGTATCTGTCTGTGTGTGTGTGAGAGTGTCATTCATTGCAATGAATGACATGCATATGTATGAGTTTACTTCCTTCTTTTTATATCTTTAGGGAGCATCTCTTTCAGTTCCAGCCCAGTGAAGTTGTAGTGGACATTGGGAGTAGACACACCAAAGACGAACTCAAGTGATATATACTCACAGATACAGATACTTATTTACTTACTTATTTATTTATATATTATTTATTTAATATATATTATTTGTTATAGTTAACAGGATAATATAAATAATTCCGACAACAGCAGTAGTGAGGGAGGATAAGAAGTGGATAACTTTGAAGACAACCTTATAATTTATATACAATGGATCCTAATAATATTAATACACCTGGTATGTTGTATTAATAACAGATATTTGATTAAATTGAATGATAGTATTAACAAGAATAATAATAATAATAATAATGAACTAGGTGTGATTATTAATAATGCAGGTAATCAATTACAAGATATACCAATGCCAACTGGTACAGATCCAATGTTATCACAACAAGCAGGTAGACCACGTTCAATGTCAAGTGGTTCTGGATCAGGTCCAAGGACATCACCAAATAGTAATTTAAAACGATCTAGACTGCGAGGCAGGAAACCAAAGAAGGACAAACCTCTGAGAAAGAAGAAGAAGAAGTATATTGGTGAGACGAGGAATATATTCGTCAACGATCAGACAAGGAATCTCGAGTCCAAGTTTGGCAACAACACTATCAAGACTACAAAGTACACTCTGTTGAACTTCATCCCCAAGAACCTCTACGAGCAGTTCAGACGTGCTGCCAACTTCTTCTTCTTGATCATTCTCATTATCCAGGTCATCCCTCTTCACATCTCTGCCGTCAATCCATACGCAACAATCATTCCACTGATCTTTGTGTTGGCAGTCACTGCAGTCAAGGAGGCGATTGAAGATATTGTAAGTTTCATTGGTTGATTCAACAAAAACATGATAACTAATGAATCAAATGATCATAATAGAAACGAAGAAAGCATGATATAACTATCAATAATCTACCTGTACGCGTGTTCAATGGCGCAGTATTCGAGGAGAGACCTTGGAAGAATCTAAAGGTTGGTGATATTGTAAAGGTATGCAAGGGTGAGAGCTTCCCAGCAGACCTCATCGTGCTGAACACTTCGGAACAACATGGTGTCTGTTACATCGAGACGTCCAATCTAGACGGTGAGACCAACTTGAAGATGCGTCAGGCCATCCCCGAGACATTCGAGAACCTGAGGAATGAAGCCGACTTGGCACTGTTCCGTGGTCGCATCGAGTGTGAACATCCCAACAATGTCATCTACGTGTTCCGTGGCGCACTGGCCATGACGAGCGAGCCCAGTGTCGTCACCTACCCTCTCTCCAACCAACAGACCCTGCTGCGTGGCTGCATCCTGCGTAATGCTGACTGGGTCTACGGCGTGTCTGTGTATACTGGTGGGAGACACCAAGGTCATGCAGAACTCCACCGATGCACCAAGCAAGAGAAGCACCCTAGAGAAGCTGGTGAACCGCGCACTCATCAATCTGTTCCCCATCATGATTGTCGTGTCGTTGATCGGCATGATTGTGAGCATGGTGAGGACCCACCAACACATCGATGACTGGTACCTACTCTTCAACTCTCGTGCAGTTGCCGCCGCCATCAAGAACTTCCTTACATTCCTCATCACCTTCTCCGTCATGGTACCCATTTCGCTGTACGTTTCTATGGAGATGGTCAAGGTCGCACAAGCTATATTCATCTCGTGGGACATGGACATGTATCATCCCGAGTCTGACACCAGAGCCGTCTCTCGCACGACCAACCTCAGTGAGGAGCTCGGTCAGATTGAGATCATCCTCAGTGACAAGACTGGCACGCTCACCCGTAACCAGATGGACTTTATGCGCTGCTCTGTCGGCCCCAAGATCTACGGCCACATGAATGGAGAGGGCAACAGCGAGGGCATCCCAGGCGCCGACCCCAAGTTCAACTTCCGTGATCGCACTCTGCTCAATGACCTCAACGCCGGCGGCCAGCAGGGAGAGATGATCCATCAGTTCCTCACCTTGCTCTCTGTCTGCCATACAGTGATTGCTGATCGTCCCAACAAGGATGATTCGGTGATCAACTACGAGGCATCGAGTCCAGATGAGGAGGCGTTGGCCAATGCCGCCCGCAACCTTGGTTTCGCCTTCCACAGACGTGACCCCAAGTACACCTACGTGATGATCAATGGCAAAGAGGAGCGATTCGAGTTGCTCAACGTGCTAGAGTTCAACAGTGACCGAAAGAGAATGTCTGTGATTGTCCGTGATTCACAAGGCCGCATCGTTATCTACTCCAAGGGAGCAGACTCCACCATGTTGCCACTGCTCTCCAAGGACCAACACGACATGGAGAATGACACAATGGCTCATTTGCAARGAGTTCTCTGAGGATGGACTGCGTACCTTGGTGCTGGCCTACGCCATCATTCCCGAGGATCAGTACAGACAATGGAACGAATCATACAAGCAAGCCGCCGTGTCCATTCAGAACCGTGAGGAGAATGTTGGACGTGCTGCCGAGCAGATCGAGCACAGTCTAATACTTCTTGGTTCAACTGCAATCGAAGACAAGCTACAAGATGGTGTTCCCGAGACCATAGCCGCTCTAGCTGAGGCCAACATCAAGCTCTGGGTGCTCACTGGAGACAAGCAAGAGACTGCCATTAACATTGGTTTCTCATGCCGTCTGTTGCGCCACGACATGAAGATCATTATCCTGAATGGCAACAGTGTGGAGGAGGTACAAGACAACATCAACTCATCCTTGCAGACCTACTTTGCCCACGATGCCAGGGACTTCCAGACCAACGGCTTCGCGCTGGTCGTCGAAGGACGTATCCTAAACTACGCGCTGGACGGTGTGCTGAAGAACCAATTCCTGGACCTGGCATCCCGTTGCCAGTCTGTCATCTGCTGCCGTACCACACCCATCCAAAAGGCCGAGGTTGTGAAGCTGGTCCGTGACACACTGCGATGGGTCACACTGGCCATTGGAGATGGTGCAAACGACGTGTCTATGATCCAAGCCGCTCATGTCGGTATTGGCATCAGTGGCAATGAGGGTATGCAGGCTGTCATGGCCAGTGACTACTCAATCGCCCAGTTCCGCTTCCTCCACAAGCTACTCTTGGTGCACGGTCGCTGGAACTACAAGCGTAACAGTTACCTCATGTTGTACAGTTTCTACAAGAACATGGTGCTCGGTATGACTCAATTCTGGTTCGGCATATTCAATCAGTTCTCAGCTCAAGTACTCTTTGACTCCTTCTCATTGGCCGTCTTCAACGTGTTCTTCACTGGTCTCCAGCCAATCATCTACGCCGTGTTTGATCAGGACGTTAGTGTGCGTAGCGCACTCCGATACCCAATGTTGTACAAGGCTGGTCAGAAGGACTCTGAGTTCAACATCAAGATACTCTGGATCAACATCTTCATGGCCATCACGCAGTCTATAATCATATTCTTTAGTACCAAGGCCATCTACTCGCATGGTGGCCTTCTCCTCAAGGACGGATCAGTGCTTGAGATGTGGGCATTTGGTCAACTGGTATTCATCGTCGTGGTTATCACCGTCACCATCCGTCTGGCGATGGACACAAGATACTGGACGCACATCACTCACTCGTCCATCTGGGGCAGCATCATCTTCTGGTTCCCCCTGGACCGTCATCATTAACCTCATCCGTATTGTGAGCACCAACAACTCTGGAGACGTCTTCTACACGGTCTTCCACAACTTCCGCGCGCCCAAGTTCTGGCTGGGCATGCTGTTCGTGCCCATCTTTGCTCTGATACCATTCGCCATCTACAAGGTGATCCAACGAGAGTTCTTCCCCAAGCCATACCAGATCATCCAGGAAATGGAGAAGTCTCACGTGCCATTGATCGACCCAGCTCAATTCGATGACAACACAATGGAGAAGGGCGCATTGGATATGGACAACAAGGATGGCAGCGTCGTGAAGAAGAGATCATTCTTCTCTCGCATGTTCAGTCCATCATCACGAACAAGTGCACAACGTGCTGCTGAGAATATTAGGGATGGCAGGAGCGAAGGATCTGCCAATCGTTAAATATATATTATTATTATCATTATTATTTTTCAAGAGGTATATATTCACGTCGTCGTCGATGTGCACTTCCGTCTTAGACGTGGTCTGTTAGCTAGTCGCCGTCGCAGTCGCCGTCTCTTTGTCGTCGTCATTGACAAGTGTACATAGAACCTATCCAGCTTTCAAGCAAGCAAGCAAGCAAGCAGTATCGCATCCCCAATATATATATTATATTTATTATTATCCACAGCCAAAGTTCTATTATTACTTGCATGCTTCATTGATTGGTCGATGATCATTGTGTTGGTGTGTGGTGGGTATGAGTGGAGTCATTATTACTCCTATCTTCGTCTTTCATCACGCCACTCTTTTGTGTTAATGTGTGATTTGTGATAAAAATCAATTAAAGTTGAAAAAATCAAATAATTGACGCACACAGGAGTGACCCAAACAATCCAACTTTTCAAACCACGCTCACTCCTCATTTCCTTTCATCCTCCGAGATACACTTACACCCACACACATAAATAACAAATATATCTATCTATCAATCAATCTATCTCTCTATAACTAAATAACTAATCATATATCATTTTATTATAATTAACTAGTAGCAGCAGCAGCAGTAGTATGACAATATAAGTCAGTTTACTCCAAGCATCTTAAACAATCATCAAAGCAACGAATAAGAATCAAAGATCATTCTTTCAAACACAACCAACAACAACGATCAATAACCAACCAATCAATCAAACAATTATATATCTCTATTGATTACCATGCTACTATTTTCGACATCATCACCTCATCTTAGTCTGATATCAATTAGTTTGAACCTATTCTCTTGGAGTTAGATATATAATACTTTAATAATAATAACAATTCTTTAATATAGATAGATACATTAGATACATACATTAATTAAGCAATTACACATACATATACTATTACCAATTAATACTATTACATTTATAAAGCGAGCTAGCGATTAAATAAGCAGCAGCATCAACAGCATCCTTGTAAATTATAAACACAAAGTCGACAACGTCAATCAATCAATCAATCCCAGTCATTCAATCTCAATCTCAATCAATATCAATCMAATCAATTTAAACAAACATAATGAGAGCAGCTCTAGAAGAATATAACAAATCGTCCACCAGTGATTTGGTGGCCACAACAGTGGTCCAACAATCACCTGACAAGCAGGACTCGATAGTCAATAGGAAGCGTGGTGCTACCATCATTGGCACAAGAGAGTACTTGCAGCCGATATTGGCCGGCGAGGAGGGCACTGTTCCCATCTCTGGAAAGGATGACGGCTACAACTCCATTAAGATGCGATACTTGCGCTCCCTCAACATATCCATCGCTGCGCCGACCAAGGACATCCACGTGTCTGCCTCGGCGCCCATCCCAATCCCAATCCCGCTCAGGAAGGGCGACTCGGACTCGGACTCGGACTCTGACAACGACGGCGCCAACGACGACGATGACGACTTGTTGCCCGACGGCCAATCAAACCAACGACTTTATGATTGGCACGCCCGAGATCTCGCACATGCCTGTGCGAAAGGACAGCAAGAGCAAACCCAAGGTCAAGTTCGTACCGCCCCATGAGCTGTTGGGAGGCAATCCCAATGGCGAATCCTCATTGGTCAATCATTCACTGCCAGGCAACAATCGAAGAAAGGTATTCGGTCAGTAAGGCCTTGGCCCCCACTATACATACTATACATACATTACACTACATAATTCTCTCTTTTCCACCATTCGAGTTAATAAACCTTCCAAAGGATAGGTTATCCCCTTTTTAATTATAATATATATATATAAAGATGTGTGATGAGTCAGTGAATAGACATATTAAACAACAACCATATGATTGGATGGAGTCAGTGAATGGACATGCATATATCAATCATTGGTACATGGAGGGTAAGGTTGACGAGTTCATCACCTTCAACTACCCAATCGAAGAGATCAATGAGGCCTTCCACTACTACTGATTGCATTGGAGACTTCTATCTTGTTTCCTCTGTTCCTCTTGTTGTCGTCGTTCTCATTCTCTCTTCTCCTGTTTCTCTATTTGTTGCTTTTGTTGTTATTCCTTTCTTTGTTGCTCACGCACTCATTATAATAAATATATCCCCCAAAATTGAAAAAAGTTGCTCATATTATGATTGAATGATTTACTTGACATTCATCATCTTAAATGTGTAGACACCATGTGGAGGGTACTCGCCTGGTGCAAGGAATGGAAGGTGGAGCGTCAATCCAGCGCCAAACTCTCTTGGCGTGAACTTGATCTCTCCTCCATAGCCAAAGAGTGTGATCTTGGTCTCATGGCTGGCGATTGGTGCCTCGAGATGTAAGTCTCCATTTCCGTCGGCCCAGTTGTAGGACATGGCGTAGACGGCACCTGACTCCAAGTTGGTGGTGTACCACAGGTCTGAAGCAAGCGTGTCGTTCTGGACTCTCCAGAAGGTGGTATTATAGATGGCCTCACCATTGATGTCCAGCCATTGTCCAATCTCCATCAATCTCAATTGCATGATCATTGGGATCACTCCATCACTGGTCTAATGGGTGGGGAAGTATAAGTAATGTGTGATCAAGTCATCTACGGCGCGGCAATACTTACTGGACCAACGTTCAACAACAAGTTACCACCACATGAGACGGTGGAGACAAGAGTTTGAACGAGTGATGAGATGTTCTGGTACTCGGAGAGTGGCTCATTCTGGTTGTAGCCCCATGATGTTCCAATGGTGTAGCAGTTCTCCCACTTACGCTTGATGAGGTAACCTGGGTTGAAACGATCGGATGGTGTGATGAAACCTCCATTCTTGCCATCACAGTCCAGTCCCCAACGATCATTGACGACGACGGTGTCCTTGACGGGCGACTCGTTGTACAACCAGGCCAGGAACTCGGTCGACTGCCAGTAGGTGGAGTTCTCGCCCTCGTCTCCGTCGGACCAGACGACCTCGGGCTCATAAGTGTTGACCAGGTCGAGCAGCTGTGGCATCATGTGAGTGGTGACATAGGTGTTGGTTGTTGGTGGCACACCAGAGTTGACATCGTTCAAGTACAATGGGTTGTAGAACTCAAACAATGAGTAGTAGAGACCCATGTGCAGTCCCTTGTTTCTCACAGACTTGGTCACCTCACCGACGATATCTCTGTGTGGTCCAACGTCAACAGAGTTCCAGCCCCAAGCATTTGCGGATGGCCAGTTGGTGAAATCCCTCGTGATGCTTGCTCACCAGCACGACGTACTTGGCACCGGATGCCTCGAATAGGTCTGCCCATTGGTCTGGATCGAACAAGGCGCCCTTAAACATTGGTCCGAATGATGGATAAAGGAAGTCCTTTCCAAAAGTGTCATGTAGGTACTGTTGAGTGGCACCTCCATCAACCTGTGGGTTGTTACTTGTCCACCAGAACCATTCTGCGGATGGCCACTCAGGGACCTGTTCATTCATTCATTCAATCAAAAAGATGTTAGTACATTGGATTGGATTGGATTGTATTGGATTGGAATGGACACATACAGCAAAGGCAGGTACACTGTATACTCCCCAATGGATAAAGATACCAAACTTTGATTGATCATACTATATTTGTATCCTTGGTTAGTATAAGTTGAGTTTGTTTGAACAATGATATACTTACCCAAGCAGGAAGTGGTCTGGAGTTAATTGATGGCCAGTTAGGTTGATACTGAGCCCATGATAGGGAGAGTACAGTTAACAAAATAACAACAATAAATAATGATGTTCTATTCATTGTTATATTTATATCTGTTTATATATATATATATTATAAATGTGAATAAAAGATATTGTTGATTGAAATTGAACTATGTCGGTGTCGGTGTTCAGCATGGTCACTTGCATGCATGTGAGTACCCTTTGAACAAACGCAACAACAACCACACCAAAAATCAATCAAAAAAGTGTTTTTGTTTGCACACGTGATCCAATCAATTATGTTTAACATTGGCGCTGGTTCTCAACCCAGTCCACGCAACAACTTTAACAAAAATGGCAAAAGCCATTCGGATTCCTGATGGGTAACGAGAAGTCATGAATGAATACCAAGGTATCCTAATATCGTGTTCCATACCGAAGTACTTGTCGAGGTCATGTTGACAATGATTTATATATTATGTAATATTTACATGAACTCGAATGTGATTGATTGATTGAATGATTGAATGGAGTTGAATGATTGATTTGAAATTGACAGATATAGAGATACTAATGCTGTTTGAGTTGGATAGGGAGAATTGGAGTTGAGATGATTGATTATGTCCTGTAGTGGGAGTTGGCTCTCACGTACTCCTCGGTCAAGTCACAGGTCCACATGGTGTAGGATGATTTGCCCATGGAGAGGTCGACGATGATTGAGATGTCGTTGTGACTGAGTAGCTCGGCAGCCTTGTCCTCGTTTTTGGGAAGTGGCGTGCCCTTCTCGATGAACTGCATCGAGGTCTCTGGATCGTTCTTCTTGCCCTTGCCGACGTTGTCTCCGTCGCCCTTGGCGAACCACATTGACACCTTGAGTGGATCCACATTGACTCCACTGTAGCCAACGGCAGCCAGCACACGGCCCCAGTTGGCGTCGCCTCCATACATGGCAGCCTTGACCAACGATGAAGTGGCAATGCTGTTGGCAACGATGTGTCCGTTGGCCTCGTTGTCGGCACCCTGCACATTGATTGTGACAAACTTGGTGGCGCCCTCTGCGTCACGCACGATCATCTGAGCGAGCTTGGTGGCAACGTCGCGCACGGCAGCCTGCAGGGCGATGTAGTCCTGCGAGTTGACGTCGTCGACGATCTTGTTGTTGGCCGATCCGTTGGCAAAGATGGCGACGGTGTCGTTGGTGGACATGTCACCGTCGACATTGATCGAGTTGAATGAGTATTGGACCGAGTGCTTGAGCAGCGACTTGAGACACTGCTCCGAGATGTTGGCGTCCAGACAGATGGCGCACAGCATCGTGGCCATGTTGGGATGGATCATACCGGCGCCCTTGCAGATACCGATGATGTTGACGTCAGTGCCCGACATCTTTACATTGGCCTGTGCCAACTTTGGTACCTTGTCCGTTGTCATAATTGCTCTGGCAGCTGACAACCAATCAGCCTCATTGAGGTTGGACACGGCTTCCTTGATACCCTTCTCAACCTTGGTCATATCCAATTGTTGTCCAATGATACCTGTTGACTGAAATATCATGATTGATTGATTGATTAACATGTGATCTATCAATTGATTGATTGATTGATTGATCGAACAACATAACATACCATAACAAGTGAGGGCTGGGGAGCCTTGACAAGAGAGGAGGTCAGGGTGGACATGGTCTTGGCGTTGGCCATACCTTGATCACCTGTGCAGGCATTGGCACCACCACTGTTGATGACAAGTGAGTTGAAGCCCTTTGAGTGATGGCTGTCAAGAAGTTGACGACTGAGTACCACTGGTGCAGCCTTAACCTTGTTCTCGGTGAACACCGCAGCAACCTGACAAGGTGTCGACGAGTGAATCACACAAACATCCTTGTTTCCACTCTTCTTCAGTCCACAAGCTGATGTACCAGTCTTGAATCCCTTTGGGAAGGCCTATTATAATATATAGATGATGGTTGGTAAGTGACTGACTTAATGACCATTGATTGATTGAATGAGTGTATACAGTACTTTGAATGATGCACTGCTGCTGCTGCCACTGGTGGACACGTAGAACTTCTTTAGAAGTGATTGAGTATTGGTACGGTTGTTGAACAAGAGACAACTGTTGAGTGATCTTGACATCATCATGGTTTAAAAAAGCTACACTTGTTATGGTATGTGATAGTCACGTCACACCCTCTGATACTACTACTATTACAACAACAACAAACTAACTATTATCCTCTCTTTCTATATCTCTCTCTTGCACTTTGTCACAACAACATGTGATGACCTGATCAACCCTCTCCATGCCCTGCATCATCACCGATCCCCAAACACACACAACTTGTGGAGTGACCTGTGTGGTTGCACTTCACTTCACTTCACTTCACTTCTTCAATTCGGACCTCACTTCAGTTTTTCTTCTTGAACCACTCTTTATTTATCTAATTGAATGAAGGAAGTAATAAATGATACTAATAAGGTTGGTATATTAATACATAAAGGTTATCTCGAGATAGATAATATGACATTGACTACTTCGTGGATTGATGATGTCATCATATCAATGTTCAAGGTTTCTGTTCAATCATATCACATCTTCTTACAGGGTGAACTAACCTTCCAGACATTGGGCCATATTATAATAATAATAGTTAATGGTAATGGGCTAACTCATCAATCAACGTCATATATAGATTAATTAATAATAATAATTATTTATTTATTTATAGAACACACAACAGTGATCAGGGAATGATTGATTGATTGATTGATTACGCGAGGTGCCCCGAACCCCGGCCCACTCACCCACCAAAACCACATCACCAACGGGCGCCACATCCATCATGTTGCCAAAGTAAGACGGTCTCCAACTAGATAGGCATGCCACAATGTAAGTGATCCAGTAGTTGACAATGATCAGACGACAAACAAACTAACACGCCACACACAAACATAGTGTTATGATAATTTTTTTAAGTTGTTCTCACATGACCCTTCGCAGAAACACACGAGGCATTCAACGATTCTCCAAGGTTTTGGGCTTTTGAACAAAACAACATCGATGATATTTCAGTGTGCCCATCAAGGAATATTGAGAGCCTATGGGGTAACCCGGAGAACAAGCCCATCACAGGGGTTACGGAATGGGGAGTCACATTCAGACGGGTCATCCAGTCAGCCCTTTCAAGGACCTCCTCTCGGTCCTTCCAAGATCATTCACACACTGGGTCATCTGGATACGTCATGATGTATTATTGTGACCTTAATGTTTAAAACAAAGGAATGCTTGGAACATTAATCAATCATACTTAAGTAATAGTATGTATCTTTATCCATCAATCAATCAATCAATCATAATTATTTATATATTTATTTATTTATTTAATAATGTACAATCACAACAATTATAAGATACCTCGGAACAACAACAATGTTGGGGGAGGAGGAGGAAGAGGATATACTCCAACATCCGTGGAGATGACATCAATTGATATTAGACCACAACAATCAACAACAAACAATCACACAACTATAAATATTAATAATAATAATTATAATAATAATCAATTAAGTCAACATATAACATCACATGTCAGTCCAAATAAGACTGGAATGTATGTTGTTGCCAAGGGATTGAGCCTCAAGGTCGACACCAACCCCAAGCCAATTTGGAAATCATTGGTCTCCAATACAAAGGTTGTACAACCTCAACATGACCCTGCAACCAAGACCCTGCTCAATGATCTCAACTTCTCATTACAACCTGGCCGCATGGTACTCTTGATGGGTCCTCCATCGTCTGGCAAATCAATTCTACTCCAACTTCTGGCCAACAGACATCCCAAGCAACACAGTACCATCGACGGACAACTATTGTTCAATGGTCATGTGGCGGACGACAAGACACATCACCGCGACACAATATTCGTTCCACAGGACGATCGCCACATACCCATACTCACGGTTCAGCAGACGATGGACTTCTCGGCCAACTGCAACATGGGCCAGCAGTCTAGAGAGCAGGCCAAGAAGGAGCGAGTCGACCTCATATTGGAGATGGTCGGACTGACCGAGCAGAGGAATACACTGGTTGGCGATGAACTCATTCGTGGCATATCAGGTGGACAGAAGAGACGTGTCACTCTGGCGTCTGAGTTTACAAAGTGTCCTAATCTTATATTGATGGATGAGCCTACCACTGGATTGGACTCTGCCACCTCATTCAACATTTGCAATCATGTCAAGACCATTGCCATCGAATCCAAGTCATCAGCAGTCCTTTCATTATTACAACCAAGTCCAGAGTTATTCACACTATTTGATGATGTCATCCTACTTGGTGAGCATGGTACACTCTGTTACTTTGGCCCACGTGAACAACTACTCCCATGTATGTTATATGTTCAATCAATCAATTATTTCACTATCTTACTCAATCAATCAAACAAATATTCCAGACTTTAACTCAATTGGATACCATCCACTTCAGGATCAACCGGAGGCAGAGTTTGTCCAAGACATTGTCATTGATCCAAGGAAGTACTCAATCGAGACACAGCCATTATATAATAGTCAGGATCCACACAACATTCAGTTTGATCACTTATTCAAACAATCATCATGTATGTTACCATCACTCACTCAATCAATTATTCATACATTAACTCAAACAATGAATAGACTTTCAGAGTGTGATTGAACGATTGGATCATCTTCCACCTGATGGCTTGGAGGTCAGGGATATGTCAACGACAAAGGACTCATTGAGTWAGACCTTCAACATTGTTGGATGATATCAAACTTTGTTTGAGTAGACAGTTCACAGTGATGAAGATGGTCAGGAAGCAATATATTGTACGTTTCGTACAGGCCATTGTAATGGGATTCGTACTTGGTTCATTGTTCTTCCAACTGGGCGACACTCAGACTGGCGGCCGCAACAGATTCGCCATACTCTACTTTGCAATGAACCTTCACATCTGGACGTCGTACCCCTCGATCGAGGAGTTCCATCAGCTGCGCCCAGTGTTCTATCTCCAACAGGATGGCAAATATTATCGAGCATTCGCATATTTCCTCTCATTGGTTGTCTCCAAGTTCCCCGTGTCATTCATCGAGTCAACATTGTTCGCCACCATATGTTATTGGACTGCTGGATTCAATGCCAGTGCAGACAGATTCTTTGTGTTCATCATATGCAATGCATTGACAAACATTGTTGCACAGGGACTGTTCCAGTGCGCATCGGCATACTCATCGACCCAGCTCAAGGCATCATTGGTGACACCAGCCATCATACTTTTGTTCATGATCTCATCTGGCTTCATCCTGCCACGCACCAACTATCCAGATTGGTGGATATGGTTGTACTATCTCGACCCACTCAAGTACGTGCTGGATGCGCTGGCCTCCAATGAGATGGTGGACAAGACATTCCATTGTGCGCCCCACGAGAGGATCCCGCCACCCACCCTCCAACTATTTGGATTCAATGATACATTGTCATGGCGATGGATCGACTTGTTCATCGTGGTCTGCTACGCATTTGTATTGTTCACACTCTTCTTTATTGGATTGAAATGGCTTCGCTTCGAGACCAAGAAGCCACCAAGGACAATATCATATGGCATCAAGGTAAAGAAGGACAGGAAGAATACCATCATTGACGCGAACAATGTTGCCATGGCCAACAATGGAGGATGTTACATGACCATTGAGAACCTGAACTACTCAGTCCAGGTCAAGAAGAGGAATGAACATACGGGCAAGACTGAGAAGGCAAAGTTGCAGCTGCTCAACAACATCAATGCATTTGTCAAACCTGGCATGATGGCGTTGATGGGCCCATCTGGCGCAGGCAAGTCAACTCTTTTGGACATATTGGCCAAGAGGAAGAATGGAGGCGAGATCACTGGACAAGTGTCAATCAATGGTCAATCAATTGACTCGATGCAACTCACTCGATTCACCGCCTATGTTGAACAACAAGATATATTGCCAGAGAATCTCACTGTGAAGGAGGCCGTCTACATGTCTGCCTTGTGTCGCCTGCCAGATACAATGCCCAACGAGGACAAGATGAAGTTGGTGGAGGAGATCATCAAGTTGCTACACTTGACCAAGGTCCAGGACTCAAAGATCGGTCTCAATCCAATGGTAGGCATTTCATTGGCCAATCGCAAGAAGGTCAGCATTGCAATCGAGATGGCTGCCGACCCCCAGCTACTGTTCTTGGACGAGCCCACCTCTGGTCTGGACTCAACTGCTGCACTCAAAGTGATGAACTGTATACGCAAGGTGGTCAAGAGTGGACGAACAGTTATATGCACCATCCATCAACCATCACAAGAGATCTTTGAAGAGTTTGATCAGTTATTGTTGTTGGCCAAGGGTGAGGTCATATACTTTGGAGACACTGGACCCAATTGCCAGACCGTCGTCGACTACTTTGCTCATCAAGGCTATCATATGCAACATGGAAGGAATGCCGCCGACTTCATACTTGAGGTGGCCGAGCTGCGTGACGAGGCCAGGAACCCAATCCAGTATTACCGTGCATCAACTGAGTGCCAGACCACAACTGAGCAGCTGACCAACAAGCAGGTTGTGCCAACTGGTGTTACTGTGCCCAAGTTCACCAACATGTATGGTTCGTCATTGAGGACTCAGATGTACTGCCTGACCAAACGTGCATGGCTCAATCATGTTAGACGTCCAACAACAATCTTGATCAGATTCCTTCGTGGAATCATCCCAGCCTTTATCTTGGGCACGATGTTCCTTCGACTTGATCACGATCAATCAGGTGCCCGAAATAGATTGGCAATGATCTTCCAATCGTTTGTGTTTGCTGGTATTTCATCTGTGTCCAAGATACCAATGGCATTGGAGGATCGATCACTATTCTACCGCGAGAAACAATCTGGAACGTACCCGCCATTCATTTACCTTGCCGCTACATTGGTGACCGATCTGCCGATGGTCGTGATGACCTCGCTCGTCTACTGGATCCCATTCTTCTTGTTGAGTGGCATGGATGGTGGCGAGGGCGGGGGCAAGTTCTTCTTCAGTCTCCTCATCTACTTCCTCATGACACTCTGCTACGACAACCTTGCCTTGATGTTTGCCTTTGTGATGCCCGAACTGCCCGTGGCTGCACTGATCAGTTCAATGGCGCTCAACTTCCTCGGACTGTTTGGCGGCTTCTTCATCCCGGGTCCAGACATCCCACGAGGATGGAAGTGGCTACATTGGTTGATGTTCTCACGTTATGGTCTTGAGTCGATTGGTGTAACAGAGTTGCGAGGCGCAACATTTGATTGTCCCAATGATGTTGGTGCCTATCCAATACCCGTGGGCAAGAACACAATGATGTTCTGTCCAATCACATCAGGCGATACACTCCTCGAACGATATGGACTTGAGTATGACCGAGTGAATTGGAACATATTCATGTTGATCGCCTTCAACATTGCCTACATTATGCTCAGTTTCCTGGCGCTCACATTCATTCGTCATCAGCGTAAATAAACACAAGGAAATAGATCCAACTTTAATTGGTCAATTTTTGTTGCTCTTGATGTTGGAATAAGCTAAACTTGCTCTGTTTGTCTGATGTTGGAGTGAGTGGACATCGTGGACAACATCGGTAGTATGAGAGATAGAGTACTCCAGGTGATTGGCCTACCTCGGGTTTGATTAGAATTGATACCTTCTGGATGTTTGGCATATCGACACGTTTAAGTATCTTGGACAATTGATCTTGAATCCTGTCCTCAATCTCTAGTTTGGCAATCCATATCCATTCGTTGATATGGATCTCCACTGATTGAAGCGTTGCCAGTGATGTGATCGATAATGGGTCTGGTAGCAATGATTCAGCTTCGTTCAGTTGAGAAACCACCAAAGTCAGTGTTCTCAATTGCTTGCACTCTTTGTAGAATTGTTGAATATATGATGAGTACTCATCCAACAGGTAGTCTTCCAATAAGCGAGGCTCTGGTTGAAGAGTGAGATGTTGGACATTGTTCACTTTTGACAAACTATGCACTGGATGACACTGATACAGGATGATTGATGTGATGTGATCCAGTTCGCTCCGGTCCAGATCTTGGAGGTGATCATGCTCTTTCAGGTTACTCTCATCTGAACTAAAGAAAGTGCAATACTGGCTTGGTCCTTGATCCAACAACTCCCATGTGAAGGTAAGTCGAGGCGCACAATGGGCACTGGATGTCAGTGGTTGGGGACCTGATGGCGAACATGATGTGATCTCGATGTGTTGAACCGATGTTCGATCACGGACAAAGTCATTGATGAGTAGAGTGAAGCTTGCTTGATGGAACTTGCTCACGGGACCATCGTATGGCTCTTGGACAACGAATGATACAAATGATTTGTGAGGCGAATTACTGCGCCATTCTCGAATGGAAATGTGTCCGTTCTCTTGGAAATGTATATGTCTGATGTTGGGTCCAAGCATAACGCTGATGTAGATGATGGAGAATTGATCAAAGTAGTCATCCTCATCCTCGTCAAGGCTATTCTCATAGATATCAAATGGAATGACCAGTGATTGTAAGTGGTTTAGACATTGATCAATGTGATCCGGTGGGATATAGTTCAATTCTCGTGCGTGGAGATGAAGTGGAGCATTGATGTAGAGGCAATATTTCGAACCAATGTGGGCAATAGTTGAATGGATTGTGATCGATGGCAGTATTGTGTTGGACAATGTTGACCTTAATGAATGATGGATCTTGGAGCAGACCGTCGACAATGACACGACCCATCTCGAATCAATCTTGTCATCGTCTAGTAACACATTCTTAAGTATATGTTTGATTAGCACTGGCGAGAGTGATGTGAGTGCCATTGCCGTGCTCGATGGCCCATCTGAGGTTATGTCGGTCCTGGTCGTCGGTGTGGACTTTGACCAGATTAGTGTAGCAATTGAATCCTTCTTGTACTTTTTGTAAAGCTCCAGTTGATGTTTGTAATCCTTGCTGTTGATTGAGAGGAGTGATAGCTTGGCCAACAATATCCTCTTGTGCTTGGAACTGCCCTTATCGCTTTGCACACATCGCCATTTTAAGAGTCGATTAGTCACCACGATGTTATTGCACCGCATTGCATAATAATCAATATTGTTATTTTGTGGTATGCCAAGGAAACATGACCACGCGGTCGCTGGGTCAGGACATGAGTCAAAGAATTCAAAGTTGCCTGGATCGTCCTTGTGCCAATTGCTGGATTTCTCAATTAGGCTTTTGATGAGATGTTCGTCTAATAATGAATGACGAGCCATTATACAGAGGAGTCGACTGGATTCCATTCTAGGACAGGCCATTTCATATCTTTCACTCTCAATGTAATTCTGGAGCCATGGTCGGTATTGTTGGACAAAGTGTTGTTCGTCCAGCTTGTCAACACCATACTGATGACAGTGCATCATTGAATGGATGGCAGTGTTGATGTAAAGGTCTCGCTGCTTGTCTGTGATCACACCATCCAAAGCTTCCACCATACCAAGTAGACCAGTGCCAATGTAAAACAAGATCTCATCTCGTCTGTCGGGAGGATACCAATTAATTGATCCAACTAAGATGTTGCCATTTAAGCGCATTGACTCAACACGCTTCAATATTGACGTCCACATATCCTCACATCCGCCAACCGATCCAAAGTATTTGGAAACTCCACCAATGACCATCAATTCTTGAGTGGTGAGTGATCTAAGAATCAATGGTTCTAGTTGCTTGTAGTGCTGGAGTAATGGCTGTGGTCAGTAACAGATTGATTGATGGGGTTGGTCACACATACCAGTTTGAATGATGGACCAAGGTGCGTGATGACCTTGCATAAGAGATATGGATCGAGTCGACGACAAAGATTGAGAAAGCGATCTGATGGCTTGATGAGTCGGAGGAGTGGAAGCATATCAATTATAAATGAATCATTACTTTGAGTGTTTTTCATTCCCTCGCGTCTCTCCAACATATCCAATATCAATTGTTGATTGGCAGCGTCCAAATGTGGATCATCCAAAATTATGGCGTACATCATTGATAGACCATATGTTAATTCTTTATCCAGGTCACATCCATCAATGAATCTGTATGTAGTATTCGCGTTGATGTGGAAAGTAGTAAGTATGTATGTGTGTCCAATGAATCAATCAATCAAACATACTTGAATACATCTTGTTTGTGATTGATCAACAAGGTTGATGTGGACATGTTTGGCAAGTTCGTGAGATACTTAACCATCCGAGAATGCTGATCAGCAGATTGATGGATTGGGTCCTGGATTGTGTTGATGAACCATTTGATAAGATGTTGTTCAACACGCTCCATACCATATGTCTTGGCGACGTTGTCCAGGTATACTTTATCATCAATGTGATGAATGAGTAACTGTATATAATGCTCATATAACAGTTCTTTTTCAACTAATGATAGTTTGTTGATAAAGACTGGATCGACCAAGAATTCATAATACATGACCTGTATGTTGTCTCTTGCTCGGAAGTAGGCCAATGCCAAATCAAACAATGTGACTTTGATTCCAGGCATACTTTGAAGTTGTTCATAATCAATTTCAGGGAATGACCATGAATTCAATGGTGAAGTGATTGCAATCTTTCCAAACACTTTCTTAATGTTTATATTATGTTCCATAACCTAAGGTAAGTAAGCAAGAGTGGGATAGTTCCAGTCAGTCATCGATTGAATGATTGAATTCATCCACCCATCAAACATCAATACATACATTGGATAGGAGTGGGAGTGAGTTAATGAGGCCTACTAGGTTGTCTTGTAGATAGGGATCAATCTCCAACAAATGATTCAAAGTATGATCGAGTGTTGACTTCTGATCATCATCCAACGAGTCAAAATGATTGTCCTTATATCTCAACCATATGTCTTCAATCACTTTGAATGCACTACTAGTATTCATTCTATTATCTCTCTCTATCTATGACAATGATAGTGTGCCAAAGTGATCAAACTCTGATCAAAGATCATCACTTTTTTGAAGGTGAACATTCACAATACAAATACTAGTAATTTAAGAATATAGAGATAAAAGATAGAATGAACTCTATGATGGGACAACAACCTCAGACAAGAGGTGAGACATTGTTTAGGGATCAACAGTACTTCCAGAAACAGATCGAGATTAAGACCAATCAGATGTTGGACAACTATCACTCAATCATAAAGATAGCAAAGGTCAATGAGAATGCACAGAACTCATCAGAGATATACGAAATGGAGACTCGTACAACTAATATAGTATGTTGATCTATTTCATCTTGAACAAGATGATGTACATGTATTTTATACTAACAAATATATTATCAAGTTAAACTCTGCAGAAGCACTGTTAAAGATTGTAGAAGAGTTGAAACAGAATATAATATTGAATGACTTTGTTAATATGACTGAAGAGGTCAGGCTACAGAGTCTTGTTTATCAGAAACAGAATGCAAAGTCAACAAAGTCAATCAAGGCCATCTCTGAGGATATATCACGATCAATTCTAGAGTTGGAGAATGAATATTACAACTCTGAGTATAAGCAACCTCCTTCCTCTTCATCCTCTTCATCCTCATCATCCTCATCAACATCATCCTTCCCCTTTCAATCGATTCAATCATCTTCTCGCATATGATATAATGATCATCATAATCAACAAATTGGTCGATCAACATATGTCAAGACATCCATCCAATCAATCAACGTCTGTCAAGACAGATGATTACATGGACCACAAGAGATAGGTGCAATGATGTGCTACCCTGAGAATCCAGTCATTCCACTCCAGACATTCTCCCTTTCCGTGGCAATCTTGCTACTCTCGGAGTCAGTTCGCACTTGGTTTCGCAAGACCACCGCGAGAGTTGAATAAAATGTGCTTGCTTTGTTGGGGGTAACAACAAGACTTGATTGCTGCTAAGGTTAGCTTGGGTTCTGCAGGGTTCAACGGGTGTTGTGGGTGGATTCTTCAAATATTTGTTTTGGAATCCAAGGTCCGACCCGTGATGACCCTTTGCAACCTCCAACATAGTAATAGCGACCAATTAATACATATATATAATACAACATCTGATGTCTGAGGAGCTAACCCAGTTAATAGTCACCAGAGTTAAGCAAGCAGGTGTCAAATGCTTCTTCTGCGGTACTGAGTTGGATATCTGGGTCTTGGGCAAACACCTGC